TTGAGTCTAGATACTATGGAACTTGCATCAAAGAGTAAGCAACTAATGATTACTTCTCACTTTATAATACCAAGAATATAAACTGAAGGCAAAAGAAAATTAAGTTCAGTCTGACTGTGCTTCATATAATTAGATTTTTTCCATTAAAATTTTTATAAGGTTATTCACATTAATTGATTACATTCAATATTTATCACCAATCCACCATTACACCTTCCCACCACCATTCAAGTCTGCCTGTCAGGGGCAAATGCTAAATAATTTATTTTCTATTGCTTACTATGACTATCATGAGAGGTCTCGTGTGCTTCTGTAATTCTAAAATTGTAAATGGTTGGTGTCCAGAGACATCTTTGTAGGGAGCTAATTCATTTTGAGATTCATTTTGGAATCTCTGGATCAAGGATGTTGATGCGCTGGCATAGAGCTGGGAGGCAGATCATGGGTGTGGCAGCCATGTGGCCTGGAGTCTTAGTCCCTGAAACTGCATACCTGAGTTTTTCTTCTGGAAGCCTGTGGCCATCGGGGATTCATCCGGAGTGGGCAGAGAGGACAATCCACTCCCTCTGACATACCCCAGTGGAACTGGCTCCATAAGGGTTTCAGAGAAATCTCCAGAGACCTGCTGTCTTCCGGGATTCACTGCTGTGTCTCATATAATTAGATTTATGGAACTGGAGCACAAGTTCTCACTATAGGCTGACAAGAGCCGATCCCGACACGCTCTTTGCCTGGGTCAGTATAATCTGGAGGTGATGATGCAGATGATTCAGAATAATTTTCTGTACCGATGATAAAGGCAGTGCTTAGACTCCCATGGAGGGCAGAACAAATGCTCTCCCCTTGAGTTCTCAGGACTATTATTTTTTATCTGAATCACAGTGAGATACACAAAGTTGTTCATGATTGGCTTTCAGTCGTACAACGTTCCAACACCTGTCCTACATAAGTGGACATTTCCCACCACCAATATCCCCAGATTCCCTCCTGCCCCCACCATCCTCCCACGCCCTGCAAGCACCTTTTTTTCTCTCTTCTCTCCCAACTTTCTCCTTTGGGGCATTATGGTTTATAATAGATACTAAAAGTTTACCAGGTATATTCCTTTACCTAATTTCAACACTCAGTTTCTGTCCAAAGTGATCTCTTAGGACTATTATTTCTAGAACAGTCTTCTAGCAATCGTTTTGGAAATACATATTAGGTACACGTGTGAATGACTTTCTGAAATGTATTCTTTTGAAAACACATTTTCAGAAGGGAATTTCAGGTGGAAGGAAGCAGAAAGATACCTTAACCTTATTTATTTTTTCATTATAGGCCACAATAGTCACCTACACATATTTCTGAAAGAAAAACATAGGTGATAAAAGACGATAAAAACGAAGAACTGAATAAAAAAGAAGATAGCTATTTTGAGACAACTAAAACTCATGTTTCTTTAAAGACATTTTAAAAGCTCAAAAAAGTGAAACAACTATTCTACTCAAATTGGACACCTGTGGATTTTCTATGACCACAGCAGATGCAGTTTGTTGATGCATTTTGTTTTGCAAAGGTGAGTCTGAAGTGTATTTTTTAAAGAAGTTCAGTTGACAAATTTCTTATAAAAACGTTCTATTTCCATATGCTTGAGGGATGAGACACTATTGGGTCTACACTTCTACATAGCTCAGGCCACTGACAGGTACATGCCATTCTTTTGGGACATTATATGTGCTTTTGATTTTGAGTCCAAGTCGAACTCACCTCAACACATTTTTCTGACCCCCATGACAAAATAGCCCCTCGTCCCCTGCTGTCCCCAACCCCAAACCAACCATCATTTATCAATCTCCTGTTAAGTTTCTGAGATTAGAACTGAAGCTGCTAAATGTCTGGTCCCCATTTTTCAGTCAAAAGTAGGAAAATGCAAGATGAAATCTTAGACACATGCCCTTAATAAAATTGGAAGACAGATTTTTTTTTCAGATCAAAAATAACCTTAGTAAAAATTTCATAAGCTATATTGTATAATCCAACTCAAGTGATCATTTCGAAACACACTTAAGTGGCTTCACTACTAGTGTCTGCTGGTCTTGCAGCCATTTGAATTGCACTTTAACTCAACATAGGGCCATTATATTTTCAATACTTTCCCATTTTGAGTTTATCTCAGACCATGTCACACAGCACTAATGCCTGACTTTGCCTTCTATGCTTTTGAATATCATTTTAAGAAAAGAATATATCAATGACTCAATTTTAGATACCACTGCTCTTCATATCCTACATCTACTGATTGTATCAGAGTATTGGGAGGTTTTTTGGTAGGTTTAGGGGAAAGCCTAAATACAACAGAGCCTCTAACTGTATTCAGCCTGTTAACTAATAAAGGTAATGATAATATGCTGGAAGAACTAACTACATCAGAATAAAACAAATTGGCATTTTTAAGATTTAAAGCATTCTCATTTCTTAAAAAAGTGGAAAGAACAGTATAAGAGATATTATCTGACATAAAATTATCTCCCCTTCTCCCCTCTCTCCAGGCATGTATCATTTAAGAGACTTCAGATATTCAATAGGATCTTATGTTTGATTCAGTGGTTTAAAAACTCTTTCCGTTGGTTTCTTTCTCGATTTGATAACAGTCTTTCTGCTGTTTGTTATCTTCCAGGCTAGCATTTCAATTCACTTTGGAGGAAGCTAGCAGTTCAGAAGTGTTATATATCTAGTACATGTCTATTGATTTTAGACTATTTATATTCCAAGAGGTACTTATAGCTTACTTAAAGGAGATCCCAGGATAGCTTTTCTTTTCTTTTCAGAAAGACAATATTCTAATACTCTGCAGACTGCTTGAAGAGACTAGCTGTGAACAAATTCAGATCTCTCTCACGTCAGCCTCCCTAACTGTGGGGAGATGTTACAAAATAAGATGCAATAAAAATTATTATAGAAGGTATAGTCTGCTACCTTCCATCTTCATATTGGACAGCATTGAATACAAATCTGTTGTCCTCACATTAAATCGTGGTATTTACCAAAATATGGAAATGACTTTAGGAAGCCTGTTGTTTCTGCCTATGGGAATATTTTATAAAGTATTCAACACATGACACTAGGGCATAAAAAACTATACAGATTTCTTGCTATTTTGTTACAAAAAGGAAAATTTTCAGAAGCACACAGAAATTACATTAAAATGTGCAATTGTTGCTCCTGTACGTGATATTCCAAAAGCTTATATATCATCTCCCATTTCTACAATCATTTCTCTCCTACATTTCAACACTTATTGTCTAGTACATTATTTTTGTTGCCAAAATCTTTTACTTTATCCAAAGCAATTTTTGTCAAAATGATTTGAGAGGGAGCAGCTGTTGGTGTCTGATTTCCAAGTTTGTTTACATGAGTGACCCAAAACCTACAAGTCTCAATGAGGTGAATATTAAATAATAACACTGGTGGATAAGCACATTGGTGTAGAAGTAAACTTGTTTTCTCTCCTTTCTAGTTCAGGCAAAAATACGATCCCTTTTTTTTTTGTGTGTGTGTGTGTCCCTCAATGTTAAAGATCATCCAGCCACAGCACAATAATGCATACTTTTCCTTTCTCTGAACACTAAATATTGGGAAAAGGCCTGTCAGCTCTGAAAGTCAAGCAAGATTTATTTTCAAGAGTACTTGATTAAAACTCCTAAATTTCCAGTTGCCGGTATCTTGGGCCCATACCAATATATTTTTTTCCTAGTAACAATTTGTAGAAAGATGTTCTGAAAAGTTCACCATACTGAATGGCCTTTAAAGAATAACACCTGAAAATAAGAGATTCTCTGGGAACAGATTACTCTTAGAGGTACCCTGTCAGGCTGGCTCCTGTGCAGAACACAGTGGGGTGGGATGTTCATGCATATGACTGTACTGGGAACTGCCCAAGCTTTCAAAGACAATTTTTGAGTATCAGTTTTAAGAAAAAAAATATTGCGGATATAGTATAGGGGGAAGGGCATTTGCCTTGCACATGGCTGACTTTGGTTTGATCCCTGGCATCCCATATGGTTCCCTCAGCCCACAGTGCAGAAACAGGAATAACTCTTGAACACCACCGAGTGTGGCCCCCAAACAAAGAAAGTGTCCTAACTGCAATATTTGTTTGTTCTGTTGAATTGGCGAAACAAAAATTAAGCATTTATTTCCTTTACAAGAGAAAGAGAACTCTTGTGATTTGTCTTCTGAATTTTGGGAGGGGAGACAAGACCTCTGACTGCACTATGCAAGGTAATTTTAGTGGTGTGTGGCTGCAATAAGGTGAGCAAAATGCAGCTACAGTACTGAAACAACTCCAGAGGATTAGCAGCAAGAACAATATCCAGTAAAAAAATCTGAGGTGATTTTCTGAACTTTTTGTTCCAGGTATGTAAATTTAAATGAGAATTTATCTTCTGAGAAGATAAAGTCTCTTTATCTGAATTCTTACTAATGAAAGTCACAAGTGTTCTAATAACTTGCACAGCAAATGGGAATTTAAAGATGCCCATAATGATAATACTTTATGGAAAAATCAATTAATGAGGAACAAAAGAATGAAGTGCCAAATTTTCTTTGTCATGCCATCAAGGAAGCAGTATATGCAGGGGAAAAGTGTGAGCCGCTGAATTGAAATCAGATTTAAAGCTGTTGACAAATCATTTACCTACTCATTGGTTTCAACTCCATCATCAGTAAAATAGGGGTGATAACTAGTATTCATCATTTTTGTTATGAGGAAGATGTTTCATAAAAGAATAGTGACACATAAGTATAGAAAATGAGTAAGATAGTAAATTCTGGCTTTCCCCCATCTTTGATAGTCAAAGAATCAGAAAGAGGGGAATTAGTACTTTGGACATTACTTTTGCTTTTAATAGATTTTTTTTTCCCTTAGTGTGTTGTACTTACAGCATTGTGAATAGGCTATTTATTTGGGAGTAAAGTCATGAAAGTTAGAGGAGGAAATGATGTGCAAACAATAATGGTTGTAATTATAAAAACTTTATTTCACTCTTACTTTAATTAAATCTTTATAAGCACCATGTGATGTACTGGCAATCTAGAAAGAGGATACTGGAATGCTTTAGTCGATAACAAACTGTGAGCTGATGATTGAAAATTACAGCTACGTTGAGCATGTGAACAAGACCACGTTTAGGAAGGTTCACTCAGGAAACCTGTGACAATGCACAAAACAGTAATCTGGGATTGATTTGCTCATACTTTTTATGGTCAGTGCCTAAAGCATGTGCATGTAAACATTTAAAAAAAAAATCTCCAAATCTCAACAGCACATTTTATCACTTTGACAGTTTACAATTTGCTAAAACTTGACCCTAAAAGCACAAATGTTGCTTTTTTTGACCAGGGTTTGGTCATAAACTGAAAAAAAAAAAAAGGAACGAATTAAAAAAATTTAATTCAATACTGTGCAAGTCATCAGCAGGATCTATGAATGTGTGCATTTCTCAATGTGATCACTAAACCGTTATTTACTAACCCAATAAAATTGTGAAAAATCAATCCTTTTTAGCAAAATTTTTAAATTTGGTCCTATATTAAAAGACCCAGTTGTCAGGGTATTTCACATAGTTTAATTCACAAGCATGTACACAAGATAATCACTATAAAGAACATTGCTTCCTGGTTTATGATAAAAAGCTTATCCTCTACTTACACTAAAACATACAAAAAATAATCTACAAAAATTGTTTACAATTGATTTTTGGGAAAGAAAAAGCTTCCTTCAGAAAAAAAAAAGATTGCGTGTGGTGGTAGTATTTTAAGCCATCAAAAAAGGAATGTCAGTAACCAATAAATATAATGTGCTTTCTCCATATAGACATATTTACACTTGAGGAGTCTTTGGCTTATGTGTTTTTTTTCCTTAAAAAGAATTTTAAATGATCAGCCATAATTGCACATTAAAAGAAAATAAGCCAGTCATATACATTTATATATTTATATAGAGATCTTCTATATTCGAAACATATAAAAATGGAAATTTACTCTGAATTTGCACAGTTTTCCTTTTTTCATCCTTAAAGATTTACCTTCTTTAATCTTAAAAAGCGAGAAAAATGCCATATAGAAAGGATTAATTCATGCAACACGTGGAGGCTGTGCTACCAAAATCAAGAGAGAAAGGCTGCATATTCACTGTACAAACACTGATAAGTTTTCATTTGAATCTGGTTCTTATTAAATATAATTTATGTGGCACGAAATGCTGATGCTTTCATACAATAATAGAAACTAATTGAGGCCTTTTTATTAAGATACACAACTTTATAAGAAAAATACTTTTACTTCTCAAATGTAAAAGTCTCCCACCCCCCACAATAAAATCTTCTTGCACAGGTGTGACACAAACAACAGCTGCTGGCTCAACTGATGGTCAGGTTCTGTCTGGACACATGGTTAAGTGTCATGCAACTAAGAAGACTCCAGGTACTCCAAAGCGACATCATAGCAGAAACGGTACTGCTCCTGAAAGACAGCCAAGCAAAAGGAAGTCATGCAAAAGACCAATGGTACATAATAACTATCAAAAAAAAACGTGACCACTAATTTAGATTATTCAAGAATTATAAATTGTTCTACTTACAAGTGTAGTACAAGGCATACACAATTTATATTTTAGTCTAATGATCTCAGTTTAGGAAAGATGATTAAGAAAGATAGGTATGCCTTCTGTTTTCAATCTTTTTTTTTTAACTCCAGCATTTTTTAATCTGTTCTACAAATACTTGCTTATTATAAAAACGCTTCCTGGTATAGGGACTTACAGAGAATCAGAAAGTGTTTTGATAATGCTATTATCAGAAATAATTGCTACTGCCTTAGTTTTGCTGCAGTCCTTTCATGTGCATGGTTTATTTTAGATTGAATTTATCTAATTTTATTGTCTTTTGAATAATGCTGCTATGCATCTTCCCCCTTTTATTTAGCATCTCTTTTTATGCTACACAAGTCTAACATATAAATTGTTTGACTATTAGATTATCATTATTTCTTTTTCCAATTATAACTAATGTTATAGTGAGCATGTAAAAATATTCCATAGTTTTTTCCTTAGCAGTAAAGAAAAAAGCTAGTCATTAAAACTGTGACAGCATTATTCCAAATAAATATCCAATACAAATTTTTATTCATCAGAAAATTGTAGTATATTTGTAGTAAAATTAGAGTATATTTGCCAAGAATGGGTAATAATTTTTAAAGTTTAGAGAGCAATTACTTATACTAAACTTATTTGCTGTCTTTTCACATTTAAGACAACTTAGCTGAAAATGATACATTTAAAATTTTTTTTTCTGTTAGCTCATTTATATGTTGTTGCATTATCAACAATTTAAAAAAATTGGAGATGGAGTGAAAATTATGATTTCCAACATAGAACTTGCTGTAAAGTTCCCAACTTAGTCCAAATGGGTAAAATGCAAGCTGAACGAGATAATGATCTAAAATGCATATTCTTTCTAAGGAGAATTGCCAGGTATCTACAGCAATAAGCTAGAGTGAAAAAAAAAATCTTACCCCAAGAGCTCTTTATCAGTCGTCCCCTAATTATCAAGTAGGCATGATTTAAATTAGCCTACCACTGTGGTAAGTGCTTTTAAAGAACAAAAAAACTGCAAACTCTTTCATCAGTTTCTAGCAATTTTGTTTACACTCTAAATTTCCTTACCAGACTTGTCAGCTCAATAGCATACAAAACTAATCATTAACCCTGTTTAAATACAAATCAGAGGGTGGGGTGTTTAGTCAGGATTCTGGAACATGAAAATAAAGGTAAACAATAATTCTCTGCAAAGTTCTAGAATGACAGCATTTGACTATAGAATTTGTTTTTAACAGTACAGGTAAAAGAAACAGAATAAAATTTGGAGGCCAATGTTGAATTTTGACATTGAACTTCCACTGATGATTTTAAGACTAATTTGAGAAAGAGGGAGGGAGGTACTTACTAAGTGGTTATTAAGAAATCTTTAGACTGCGAAGAATTGAAAGACATAGTCATTTAGCTAGTCATCTTAAATGACCTGAGAGTCCTTCCTCAAATAATCCCTCAAATTTATCTATTCTTTCTCCATCACCATTGCTAACACACCAGTATAGAACAACTTCACCACATTTACATGTAAGGGCAGGGCAGAGAGGATTTGAGGAGAATTATAGAAAGAGATGTCAGCTATTACTCCTAAAAGTGAAACAGTATAAATCTAGCTCTTCAGGTTTTGTCTCAGGAAGCAGTGCACCTTCTGTGTGAACTATTCACGAGCAGGAAGTGGTGAACACACTTTAAAGGTTTATTGAATTGCTCATTTTACTTTATCTGATCATCTTGATAAATGTAGGGCAAACAATGGTCTTATGTTTTCTACCTCACTTTTCTGTAAGTATAAACTATACAGCTTCTCCTGCGCATATCCCATCATGCACATTTGTGAAAGTCACACATACACCTTTTTCTTGAGAAGTGAAATGAGTGAGAGAAGTTAAAACTTTCTTTCTTACTTTTCTTTTGGGCTTTATCTGGATGAACTCCCACATATATACTATATATATATATATATATATATATATACATATATATTAGCTCTTATTATATTTACAAAACAGTGAAATAGCTTCAAATCTTATGAACCCAGGCAAATCCAGGAGGAATAAAGTCTAGACAGCAGATTTATTACATTTACTAACATTTATGCCAAACATAAGTAGCAACAAGTCTCACAATGTTACTGGACCCACCCGGGCAAGTTGATGAAGGACATTGATAGTGACAGTGATTGCAGCAAATATTTACTGCCTTTGACAGAAAAAAAATATTACATATTTCCCAAACTAAGAGAAAATACAGTTCAATGAGCAGTTCATGCTACATCAAATTAAGTTGGTAAGAAGAGAGTGGGTACCCAGTAATTCATCAATTAAGCTGAATAATCACGACTTATTTACACCTGAGGCCAATCAACAGGGAAGTACTTGGACTCACCGGGGCTTCCACCATATTGGGCTTGCTGTTTCTTAGGGTCTTCACTGCATGGAAAACATCAACAACATTTTGCCGTTTCACCATTTCAACCACAATGCCTATAGCACAGAACATGCCACTTCGCCCGCCACCGTTTCTGAAAGCAAAGACATTTTATGGTATTTGAAGAGTATATTTCTTTTCACCATAATTTTAAACAATGGCTGATCATTCGTCTACAATATTTATTTACTTACTATTATTATTTTGGCTTTTTGGGTCACAACCGGTGATGCACAAGGGTTACTCCTGGCTTTGCACTCAGAAATTACTCCTGGTGATGCTGGGGGGTATCATATGGGATGCTAGGAATCAAACCTGGGTGGGCCGTGTGCATGGCAAGTGCCCTACCTGCTATTCTATTGCTCCAGTCCCTCAAAGACATTTTAGAGTGAAAAGGAAGCTCAGATAGAGAAGAGAGTACCAAATGAAGGGTGTTGTGAGGGCCCTCCCAGGGTGGGAGAAGCATGCTAAAAGTAGTCGATAGACCAAACATGATCGCCACTCAAAGCCTCTCTTGCAAAACACAGTACCCAAAAGAAGAGAGAGAGAACAAGGGGGAAACAAGGGGGAATACCCTGCCACAGAGGCAGGATGGGACGGGGGGGGGGGATGAGGGTGGGGGGGGATGCTGGGACCCATGGGGATGGATGACAGGCACTGGTGGAAGGATGGGCACTTGATCATTGTATAACTGAAACCCAAGCACAAAATTTGTAAGCCTATAACTGTACCTCATGGTTTTTCACTAATAAAAAAAGAAAAAAAAAAGACATTTTAGATAGCATTTCTGGTGGTTATGGGTAAAGAATCATCTATGTTTTTTGGGAAAAAGACTTCCTATTTTCACCGTACATGTACGTGCATAGCATAGAGTGGCTGGAACCCCTGAAGGTGACTTAACTTAGTGGTGTATGTTTAAGGACACCCCCCTGGGCACAGATAGTTACATCCACATTACTAATGACATGAAATAATAATAGGAAATCTATAATCAAATATTGACATAAAAATTAATGGTTCTTAGTTCATCAAGACAAGATGAAACCTATGGGAGTTTGTGAGAAGTGAGGATATGTTGAACACAGAAAATGAGCACCAAGGTCCCCCTGAATGGTGAGGTCACCATACTCACAGGCAGTGGATGATTGTCCGGCCTTCCCCTTCCTCACACTCTTCCTGCCATTTTTCCACCTGAAGTATCAATTTCAAAAATGACCGCTTGGAGCCAGGAACTTCACGATGAGAAGCCCACCCGAGATACTGGAACTGTTGCACCATCAGATAACCTTCCTGTGGCTGCAGAGGAAAAGGATTTCTATGTAAATAGGTGAGGGTTAGATTTGTTTCCCTAAAAGCAAATGGTAATATCAATTTGTGCCTGATAAAAAAGACATTAGCATTATATTGAGTCGAGCTTACTAGATTCTCCCTCTAGATCCAAAAATCAATCTCTGTTATCATCTTTTTTTGTGTAAGTTTCATATTCTCCTCCACTTTATTACCACTGACATCATGGTACTGTTAATCATAAGTTGTAATTACCCCTGGTTGATATTTTAAAAATAACTCTGATCTCCTTATACACTATACTTATTGCAGGCATCCTAATTATTTTGAAAAGCAATTATAATCTTTCATTCCCTGGATTTATTGGCTTTCAGATAGTCTCAGTCTACAATCCAAATGGCTGTGATGATTTAAAACTCTTTACATGAACTTAACTCACGTTCTTGGTCAATAGATGCTCTTTTCTAGGATGCAATTCAAGTTCTAAGCACATTAACCTTCTTTCAAAGTTTATCAACTAATTTACTGCCCTGGAAACTTTGTATATTTTGTTTTTGTTTAACTTTCTCAATTCAAAACATAAGTGAATAACTTAGAATGCTTGACTGAGATTTTCCTTATCCTAGCACTGAAACTTTTATGTTCTCAGAAACCACTCAGTCCTTCACAAAAATCCAGGAAATCTGGGTTATCCCAAACAGCTCTGACTGATTCTTCAAACTCTAACCTATATCACTGCCTCAAGAAAATTTGATCACTAAAATATGTCAGATGACCAGTTAAACACTCTAGCTTGCACATTGCCTTTATAAATTTTCTCACATTTGTCAGTTAACTACAATGCGATTAGTGGTTTAATTATAAGCTTCCGGAGAATATATACATTTTTAAAGACAAGGAAATCTCTCCTTTCCCCCTTAGTTGTGATCACATAGATGCAGCAAAATGTTTTCCTGTTGAATAAATGAATCATAACCTTAAACTGACAAATAAAAACAAAAGGAGAACAGACAGTATTTGAGTAAGCCAAACATTAAGCAATCAGATACAATGCTCTATGTTGTAATAGCTCATATATCTTTCGTTATGGCAGAGCCTACTGAGTAAAACATTCAAGTTCTTATGGCACATAATAAATATTCAACAAAATTAATGATATTAAATGATACCAGGAATAGAAAATAAAAATCGTATACTAATAAGGATTGAAATCCCAAATATATAAAAAGGTAAATAAATATGGTAAGAAAAATCCCTAGATTTTACTCTTTTTCCCAGAATATTTTTCATAAAAAAACAGCTCAGTTAACCAAAAAGTATCACTTTTTTAGTTTAGCAGTTAGTTTCTCAGTTGAAATATTACTAGAACCATAACCATAATGTAACAGATGTACCGACATAATGAGATTCCATTTAAATTAACATCTAAGATATGCATGACTATTATGACATGAATGAAGTTATCCTTTTCTCTCCACTGAAATGAACAACAGAATTAGATATAATTTCACCCTCTGCTTACTATTATATACTCAGAGACTTATTAACCAGAAACACATATAGTCACTTAGTTTTGTGAAACACTAAAACATCATCAATCCTAATGACACACTTAAAATAATGCACAAATATAATACTGCAGTTCTAAAAACCAGACAGCTTTTCCTAGAAAAAGAATTAACTTATTGGGAATGTACTTCATGCCTCACACGCTTGATCCTGGCACTCTCTACCCCTAAAATAAAATAGCAATAACAACAACAACAACAAAAAGCCTGTGGAAGTTACTAATAGTTTCTTTGAAATTTTTTTTTTGGAAATATAATCAAATGGTCTTTGTATTATTTTTTTCTGAGAGACCTCAAAACTAATCTATCATCTAGTGCAAAACATATGGGAGATCATTAAAGATTTTTAAGGCATGTAGTTGCTACTTTTCTCCTGGGAAAATACAAAGTGGTAAGTAGCACCTACAGATGTGGACAGTTAGATAAAGGTGATGGGGCTGAGAGATAGAAGATGAGTAGGGCACTTGCTTTGCACGAGGCTGACCCAGATTGATTTCCTGTACCACATATGGTCCCCAGAGCCTACCAAAAGTTATCACTAAGTCTAGCTAGAGCCAGGGGGAAATCTTGAGCACTTCTGGCATGGCCTTAAAAAACAAAACCACAAAAAAGTAAGATATGGGGTGAGGTGGGGGGTTGTAAAAATTAATGATGGGTATGGTATAACAAGCCTTTTTCTCCAGTCTGGTTCTTTATACATAGAAATTAAAATGGTAGTGCTGAACCCTTCCATGGCTAAAATGACATAATCCTTCTTTAAGGGGTAAAGCTTTTTGTCTTTTAGTATTATTATTAGTACTATTATTACATTTTTACTTTCCAACTGCATGCCTTTTCTGAGCTGGATGTCACTATAATGAAATATGCAATCAAATATCAGAAATGCATGCACAAGACAAGCTTGATTGAGTACATGCACCAGAATATAGATTTCTATACAAAGTATATGGAAAATCATTAATAAACGAAGAAACTAGGTTCCAGATTTTCTGCTTTTATGATTTCAGAATACAATTGTCTATCAGTAAGGTACAGGATGCTTACTAGAAGTGAGACTGATTTAAATACCTATTAATTCTATTTCTCCCATTGGCTGAATTATATCTCATTCTGCTTAGAATCAATTGTCTTGGAGAACTTCAGTTAAGTGATTGAAAAAATGACTTACTCTTGTTAGATTGCATATCCTAAAAATTCGGTTGATGACATCACAATCCATTGAACAAGACATACACTCTACTTGGATAGGGCCATATCGTAGCATTCCTTCTTCCGGCCAGTATTGAGGACAACCCTAGAATATTTTAAAAGCAAAAGAAAATGAGTAACTAAAGCAGTATGAAATAGATTTTAGAGTTTTTTCCCCCCTTAACTAAGGCAGTATGAAATAGATTTTAGAGTTTTAATGCTACTTTATTAAGTGTATAAAAACAACTCGTGACCATTAACCTGGGACAAGTCGACTTCATTTAACATCACAATGGAGGTACAGCCATAATCATACACAAGTCTCCAAAAGTCTTTCACAGTGTTTGGCAAAGGGTATTGTGTGACGATGAAAGCAGCTGGTTGTCTGTAGCTCTGTCAAAACACAAGGCAGAAGAAAAAGCCTAAGTACTTAAAATACATAATTGATTGTACAAGCAGATGCATCACACTTCAGTGTAGAATCTGTGTGGCATAAAAAAAAAGTATATGGAGATAGAACCAGACCACTGCAGAACCTTGGAATTGATCACTGAAAATGCACTGGAATGAGTAATTGGTCAAGTGAACGGTGAGGATTTGATACTTATGAAGACAGTCTCAGGTTTAAGATGTTCTCTGTGGGCTGTTTCAAGGGACACTTTTGGGCTTTTCAATTTTTCAAAGGTGACTAGCCTGAAAGTCTTAAGGAATAGAAGGCTGCAATTCTGTCTTTATATCTACCTGTTACTTCATCTTGAATTAAAAAAAAAAACTATGCATATAAGTTTGTATGCTTTTACATCATCTGGATTTATTATTAGCACACTCTGCTTCCATAGTTTTTTTTTTTTTTTAATGGTGGGACTGTTCTAATACTGATAATTATTAACCCTGCTACCACATTTGGGAACTTTTGCCACTAATCATGGCATCCCACTTGTAGGATTAATCCAAATAAATGGTTATTCCCCTGGCTACTTCTGAATAATCTCATATCTTACAAAGCTATTCCTGTGATGGGTGAGTATCTCTAAAGAAAAGCATGAGAAAGGATTGGAGAAAAGAAGTACGCTAATGATCTAGTGATGGGGGCGGAGGGTAGAGGAAAGGACTATGTTGATCAGTGAGCTCTGTTCTTAAAAGTCAAACCACATCTTACTTTTCTGAAGTCCCAACTACACTATCCACTAGTCAGTTTCAACCAAGAAATGTATCTTGAACCACAGGAAATTAAGCAGAGGTCAGAAAGAAGCAAGGCACAAGGAAGAGTCTTTATATTCAGAAAATTTTGAGGGCTGGAGTGAGAGTACAGTGGATAGGTCCTTGGCTTGCAAGCAGCCCACATGGGTTTGATACTCAGCACTCCATATGGCCCCAACTGAGCCCTGAGCATAGACTCAGGAGTAAATCCTGAGCACAGCTAGGTGTGGCGCAAATGTGCCCTCCCCATTGCCCACGCCCACCAAAAAAGAAACTCAAAGTAAAAAAAAAAATTGACACAGAGCCAAAGACAAAACTAAATGGCATCAATTTTCTTTTTTCCCCTTGTTTTTTGGGTGACACCTGGCAATGCTCAGGGGTTATGCCTGGCTCTGCACAAAGGAATTCCTCCTAGTACTGCTGGAAACCATACGGGATGACTGGGATCGAAGCCAGTTTGGCAACAGTGCAAAGCATAAGCCCTACCCACTGTACCATTGCTCCGGCTATGGCATCAGTATCATTCTCAATATTATTTTCTACTTCTGTTTTTCATATAACTTTTTTCCATTTCAAATCAAGAATCAGAAGTAAAAATATATTTTGCACTTATTATATCTGATTTCTAGAAAAATAAAATATGAGAAAAAGGTATAATGAGGATCCAAAGTCATTTCACTGGGTAGGGTAAAAACTGTTCATAATAGGATAGGAACTTTTCCCTTCAGTTTGCCTTTTCCTTGTAGTGTAAATAAAGGAGCTACCTACAAGCTAAATGACTAGTTTTTGAAGAAGAATGTGAACTTTGCAAAATCTCTACTATCAAAATCTAAATTTGGAAAATACAATCACAGCACCAACTTAGAAAGCTTTTATATCAGTCACAGAAGGATGACCCTAGACTTTGAATTTCTCCTTGTGAAGGTTCTATAGACTTAAAAACAAAAACTAAAATGTTTACCAGTGAAGGCCATAAACTATTTTAAAATGTTCTGACCCTTGATGAGTCTTTATTTCTTCCCAAGATGCTCAGGCAAGATGGCCCAAAATGTAGTTTAAAATTCTTTCTATGCTTCCTTATCAATAACAAATTAACACGTTAAAAACATACTCTATAAGCTATAGCTATATGAAGGGTAGAATAAGGCAAGTTCTTTCATTAGGATGAATGTATTAATATGGTTTCTTCCATGCCTCCTCCACTAACAGGTGTCACCCAAATTGTCTTTTGACTAATAGCCAACACAAGATCACTGAAATCAGTGAAACACCAAATATCACTGACACTGAATAAACATTAAAAAATAAATTTCAATGAAAGAGTTAAATAATTAATATGAAAGAATCACCTTCAGATAATGCCTGTAGATAATATGACAATTGATCAAGCACTAAGTTTATAATAAAGCATAAAACTGGTATTTATTTCATATGAATCCCTTTAAGGGGAATCCAAAATCATTTTAGGAGACATTTGTATTTCAATAGAAGTTTATAGTTTTTCTTTTTAAATGGTTTTAGTTTTCTTGAAAAGAAAACTTGCCATTGTTCATCACTTTATGGTGCTTTCCATGACTCTACACTAACAAAGATAGCAGTGTCTTACATCCATAAGAGCAGCATTGATGTAGTTACTGCTCTCCCCATCAATTGTAATTAAAAAAGGCAGACATCTGTCAGGTGGCAGCATGTCCATGAAACGGTTCTTGTCATGGTTCCTTGGCAGGCATGCTATACTGCAGTCTTCAGCTTGTAGTCGAGGGGTGACTGAATTCAAGGTCTGAAAAGAAAAGGGAGCATAGGTTAGAAGACAGTGACCCATTTAATAACATAACGCTGATCCGGGAGATCAAGTTGCTAGTGAAGGTTTTATACAAGGCAATGACATCCGCTCCAAAGACAGGCTGATAAAACTTTTAGTTAAAATGAATGAAGCTTATGAAGTGACAAACTCCCCTGAAATCTACATTATTGACTGTACCTCTTCTTGAAAGGAAAAGGGAGTTAAAACTCAGAGTACCTGCAAAATGCATTCCATGGTCAAATGAAACAAAGTCAGATGATGAATCAAGATGATTGATGACCTATCATCAAAGTTACAGTTTATCATTTGCAGTAACAATTGGTTTGCCATGTTTGAAGATATGATGTGTCACGTTGGAAAGAACACTGGGTAAAAAAATTTATTTTTGGTTGTTCATTTGAAATATATAGGAATAAATTGAATTTAAGATAAAAAAAATCAAAGTACGGGGACTGGAGAGATAGTGCAGGGGTTAAGGCATTTAATTTCACTGCATGCTGCCGGTGGTAGTTTGATCTCCAGCACCACATATGATCCCTGAGCACTGCCAGGAGGCTCACTCCTGAGTAGGACCAAGAACAGCTTCTGTGCATTGCCATGTATAGCCCAAACTCTCCAACTTAACCAAAAACACTCCCACTAAAACAAAATAATGTGATGTTTTCAAAATTGCTCTTTAAATTTTCATATACTTACAGTGGTTTTCTTATTGTTGTTGTTTTAAAAGGCAGTGAAACATTTGGCGTTATTCAGAGGTAATATTTAGTAAAAACTTCAACCATATTATATGCTGATCCTACACTACGTGACATGACAAGTCAAATCCATAAGACTATTTTAAAAAAGTTTTAAATACACATCATCACCACAAAATTTGACTTTTATGATACCTTTCTTTTATTTTCTTCTAAAACTGATATGCCCTTCCAGATACTGCATATCTAAACTTGTTAATACCAAAGTGACTTCACAATCTGTATAATGAGAGAGACAGGTATTATATTATACTTAAAATAAGGTTAAAGGTTATAAGTTTGACTTGAAAGACCTTCTGTAGAAGAATTAATAGTGCCCAGAACAAATTATAATAAATTGCTCATAATAGAAGTGCTAAAAATAGTAAATACCTGGAATTCATCTTTGAGATGTGAAGAGTTAGTCTGAGAATCTATTCTAATCATATCAAAATACGCAGCTTTAAATTCACAGACAGGTATGGCAGTTTCTCCACATAAGCAGGCTTCTAAAATGGCATCATGAATAAAAATGTACTGCTCCTATCGAAAGAAAAAAATATTTACAATATTTTAACAAAACTTTTCTGTCATCAAAGATAAAGATTATAGATGATTTCTCTCTATAGAAATAATATTCCTAGCATTTCCCATAAGATTTGCTAAACTAATATTGATTCTGTGCAAAAAAAAAATCTCTACTGTTTTGTTTGATAACTGGTGGAAGACTAAAAAAAATAAAAGTCACTACACTGAAACCAACATACCTCTGTCTGAACCATATTGATACGCCGAGATCTTAAGGCTTTGACGCAGTTGTAGATGTCAACAACACCCTCTCTTTCAGCCATGTCCAGCATGATATCAATCACAATGTAACAACCAGTCCGTCCAGCACCAGCACTGAATAAATGAACATATTGTTAATTTTAGTTTTAAATGAAAAGAATCTAAACAATGGTAGAAAGTTGGGGAAAGAGAGATAGTAAGTACAGCAGTAAAGCACTTGCCTTGCATGTGCCTGACCCGAGTTCGATTCCCAGCACCAACTCTGGTCTCTGAGCCCTGCCAGGAGTAATCCCTGAGCACAGAGTCAGGAAGTGAGTGCTGGGTGATGGAGTTGTGGCCCCCAGAACAAAACGGAATAAAAGACAAACAAACTGAAAACTTCCCCCAAAACAGAACTGTAGGAAGCATGCCTATGCAACCATAAATACAGATCCTTTCAAGATTCAAATAGGTGAAGCAAACTGATTTACTGAACTGGTTTTGTTCACATGGTCTGAACACTTACTAGTATACACACCAAAAAAAATCTACTCTGTAGTGAAGATTAGAAGAGTCCTAAATTGGAAGATACAATTTGGTAAGAGAAATTCCTTTTGCAAATATGTACATATATTTAAACATAAAATTCAATTTAGTTAACTTACAAAGTCTTCATTTTCTTTGTGCTAATATGCATAATTTTAAGTACATAGAATCAAGAGGTGGGATCATACACCAAAAACTAATATCAAATGGAAATTCAAGATTAATACTTTTGTAGTGTTTTTTTTGGGGGGGTGGGGGGAGGTGGAGGCAGTGCAAACTTGGCAGTGCTCAAGGCTTACTCCTGGATCACTTCTGGCAGGGCTCAGGGGTCCACATGGGGTGCCAGTGACCAAACCCTGGTCTAATACATACAAGCCCAACCTGCTTGTACTGAATTCTGTGGCAAAATGCAGTAATGCTTATTCACTGTCTTAGATAAGCTTTTATAAATCCAAACCAAAAGAGTACTAATGTTTTGTTTGAGGGCCACACTTGGCAGTGGTGAGGGCATATGAGGACTGAATCATATCAGCTGTGTGCAGGGCAAGTGCCTTACTCGCTGTACTATTGCTCTGGGCCAAGACTACTAATTTTAAAGGCTACAAAGGGAAAACAAGGAATTACAATTCTTGGAAGTACTAATGGTAAAAACAGCAAAGAAAATGATAACTGTAAATCAAAAGAGGGTAACATTAGAAAGAATATTTGGTGTTCTGAAGGAAAATTAAAATATTAGGAGTAGAACATAATTCTTAAGTAAAAAGACAGTCATAATTTTCCTACATAAAATCTACAAGTTTAATAATAATATGCTGTGATTTTATTTTTATTTCCTAGGGGTAAATTCCTTTACCCCTAGGAAATCTATTTTTAATTATGTAGGTCAATAACTGGAAGATCTTCCAGTATGTAGTGTTACACCCACCAATTGCCCCAATGCCGTGTAATCCCATCAACAGCCAAGACCCAGAGACTATATAATCTTCCTTCCGGAAGCGTATGGCCGCATTTGCGGCTGCGCAGCATCTGGTTATCTAGTTCTTACTCTGGAGAACCTGGCAGCTACCAAAAGTATCCTGCCCACACAGCAGAGTCTGGCAAACACCCCATGGTGTATATAATATGCCAAAAACCAGTAACAATGATGGGTCTCATTCTCCTGACCCTGAAAGAGCCTCGAATGTGGCACTTTTTAAAATATCAGGGCTAGGATGAAGGAGATGTTACTGGGGCATGCTCGAGGCAATCAATAAACAACAGGATGACAGTGATACAGGTCAATAAAGAAAACAAGATACAGTTGCTGTTGAGAAATTCACTTCATGGTCAGTTTCTTTTTCATAAATTCAGAAATACTTGACTACAGTGGAAAATGACACCTTCTGTTTCAAAAGAAATCTAATAATCTCAGAGTACTTATGAAGCAAACAATTCACCAGAAACTAATAGGCCATGATAAGTCAAGATGTACCTGACTGAGAATTTGATTTATTTTGTTTCCTAATGCACAGATGCACTATTATTTCATTTTGTCCACAATTGGTTGTTTCTTTTAAGCTCACTGTTCTTTTAGAAATTTAAGTAAAAGATATTTTGCTATCTCTAAATCTCTACACCGCCCCCCCCCCCCCCGCCTACATCTTCTCAATCACTGTCTTAAGATTTGAGACAGAAAAGTAATTGAAGAGTACATCAGATTTACCAAGGAGAATTCAATTAAAGATTCCCCCCACCGCCACCCTAGGGAACGGCACACCTGATTCTTATAGAATACCTTACTTTTATTTCATTCTCTATTGTTTTTTCCCCTTTTACACATTATTTAAATCTCGAATATGTTGGATTTACAGAAAGAAGAAATGCTTAAGTACAATCTATTATGTAGTTTGAAGGACAGAATGTTTGGAATGGTGTGCACTATTTAGGAAAAGATTTTCAGATTCAGTACTTATTTTCCTATTCACATATCAAAACGAAGCCACGTAATTTGCTATTAGTATCTCTGAATGCTTGTTTTAAGCAATGTTTCAAATCAGAAAAAAGTTTGGATATGATGTTCGTTTTTGTGGGGAAGCATATAAGTGCTGGAATTCACTGATGTCCTTTTTCAAGGTCTTCTGATAGCTTGAAAATCATAAATAGCTGTTTTGCAGCACACAATCTTATAATGTGGGCCATTTAGTAATATGCATGTCTCAAATTTAGTTTTAAAAGCTGGAATTCCACTAGGAATTTACTAGACTGGCAGGAAATCATATGTCCAAGTTATCATTCTATACAGTATGAGATTTTGAAAAGTGATAAAAAGATCATACAACATGAGATTTGCAAAAGTCTAAAACTACTCCCACCACCAACACCACTACCACTACAAAAACACAGGTCTTGCTCCTAAAAGTTCACACATTTGCAATTGGGGAGATCACCACATTTGGATACATGTATTTACTTCTTCATTCTATTTTATATCTTTCATTTAGCTCTTTTACTCTATTGATATCTTGCATTATTGAAAATGCAACTCTGTAATTGCTTATTATTTCCTGTGTGCCTAAGAACCTTGTGCACTGATACTTTTAAAAAGGGGGTGACATAGACAAATATTTGGACCATTACTCACCTGCAGTGCACAACAATGGGGCCAGCACTGGGCGGGTTGGAGAACTTGACGCGCCGGATAAAAGAAAGAAGCCCTGTAGCATGGTATGGTACTCCGTGGTCAGGCCAGCCAGTGAAATGGAACTGCTTAACTTCACGGATCTCATTATATCCCCTCTGTACAAACAAAGAAAGAAGTGTTCCCAAGGGGGGAGGGGCGAAGACCATTAAATGCAGATATGAATACTAGACCTGACTTATAGTATGAAACAACTAAAATTTTACTCAAGGAACGCATTTTCTGTAAAAAGGATGCTGAACTGACACAGCCTAGAGGCTTATCTGCATTATCAGACAATTGCCAATGAAAGGAAATTAGGAACCTTGCTCAGTTTTGAAAGTGTGAATAAATTATTTACTTTACAGTTTCTAACTTACTAGGAATGAAAACTTACGATTATTTGAGGAAAAGAAAGAAGTAGGACAATTCTAAAATGCTGCCCTAGTGACCCAATACACTGAGTTCTCAAGTGGTTCTCAAGAAAGCAAGTTTCTATCTTCTCATCTCAGAAAGTGATTTTAACGACTTGCTCATCCAGAGTGAAAATGGTTCTGAAGCATAGTAGATTGGGATTTTTCCAGGACAGTCTCTTGAGATTGGTTTGTAAAAACATACAGACAGCCAAAACATTCTTTGGGCATACTACTTTTTCTTAACCCCATGAAACAATTCAGTACACAGCATATTATTTATAGAAACAAAACATACAAAATGAAAGAAGCAAAACATCTATTGTTGTGCCACTTTCCCATTGGGCTTATTTATGAGCGCTCCTCAAATGTACATTTCAAGGCTCACTCCTTCCTTTTTGTTCAAAGAAACCTGCAGATTATAGCAGCACAGCTTGGATGAAATGCTGCAAAATTAATTTTAAGACTCTACATTTGTATTAAAGATACTTTTGCTATAATTTTATAATTCCCACTCACCTCTGGGCTACCTGTGAATTTCAATTTCATTTGTTTAGTCAGAAAAGGGTATAATATTGCACAAAATAAAAAGCCAAGCTGAGAAAGTTTATCTTTAGGTTTAATCCCATATAGATCAATATCAACAAAACCTTGGAAGTCAGTAATCATGCCTTATATTTACGTTGTTCCGGGTTCCTAGGAAAATCCTCTACACAAAGCAGGAGTGAACAGATAATTACAAATAGTGACAATAATAAACATTATCACTATCTCTTGTTTGTTTTGGGGCTATATTCAGCAGTTCTCAGGGGCTACATGTGATGCTAGGGGTTGACAGGAGATAAAGTAAGTGTCTTAATCCCTGTACTATATCTTTAGCCCCGGTAAAATCACTCTCTACTACTTTTCAAATCAACCATAATAGTGAAGGCCAATGCTTGTCGTAAGACCTAATTATTTCATATCCTCTACATAACCGGACAGTCATTTCGTGTCCTCTATACCACTTTTACTGTAGAGGCTGTAAGGGCTCTGTGGTTTCTAGAAAATTTAGTAGCTGGCATATTTATCATTCTTTTAAGTTTTTCTGATTGATCTTCAAATTCATGGTTAAAAAAAAAAGGTTCTCTGTGCTAATGTCCTAATTTGTACCGTATTAAATCCTTAAAGTGGTATTATTCCTATTCTGGGGAATATTGTATATTTCCCTTAGGGCGTTTGCCTTACAAGCGGCCAACATGGCCGACCAGAGTTCGATTCCTCCGCCCCTCTCGGAGAGCCGGGCAAGCTACCGAGAGTATTCGATATGCCAGACACAGTAACAACAAAGTCTCCAATGGAGACGTTACTGGGCCCGCTCGAGCAAATCGACGATCAACGGGAGGGCCTTTACCTTTACCTTTACCTTTACCTTTTACCCTTATCCACATCCTAAAGTTTTATGTTCTTCAAATCACATTTTCAGGTCTGCTCATTTAGGGCTGAAATCTCTCTTTTTCATAGTTCTTTATATAAATTTAAGAAATTTCCCTACATATTTTATAGTGTAATTTTATTTATGCTATTCTCTTTAATGGCACCGACTTCCATGATATTTCCCCTACAATTTTTTTTATGTTGGTAACTTTACTTATAAACTCTTTTTTTTTGGGGGGGGGGACAAGGGGCACACCTAGCTGTAATCAGGGCTTACTCCTGCAAATCACTCTACTGGGGCTCAGTGGACTATATGAGGTTCCGGGACTCAAACCTAGGTTGGTCATGTGCAAGGCAAGCGCCTTACCCTCTGAACTATTTTTTCAGTCCTAAATTTCCTTTAAGAGGTTATTTTTAGATCAGAAATGTGTAATAATTTAACTCTCTTTACTGTTAGACATTTATAATTACAATTTTCCAAGGTGATAAATGAAGTAATTGTATTCTGAATAAAGTGCTTAGTCAAAAGACATCAATGTTTTAAAGCTCTTTAGATACAAGCTTTTATTGATTTACAGATGGCTTATAGCAAATTTCACTACAATCAGCAATATATAAAAATGTCTCACTATACTTTCTGAATCAATGAGGATTATTATCTTTTTTCTTTCACATTTCTTGCTGAATTGAAAGTTTAAAAAAAAAGGTCTGCCAGTACAAGGTTAAATATTTATAACAGAGCAGTTTCATTTTGGGTGGTGAGAGGGATTCTAGCATTTTCTTTTCATTTGTACTGACATTCTAAATTAAGAGATCTTAAAAAAAATGATCACTAGTTTCTCTGTTGTTTGTATGATTTTAATGAAATTTTACTGTTTTATGTGGTCAAAGCTAATAAGATTTCCTGCATCAAAGTATACTTACACTGCCCACTCTGCGTAAGTCTGTGATTCGGCTAAAAATAAGTCAAGTTATATGACCTCTGGGCTCAAAGTCCTCGAGCGCTTGCTTATCTCATTTTTAATATAAGCTAAATTCATAGACAGCTTATAAAACCTCACTTACCTGGCTTTATGATTCCTCTAACTTAATATCCTATTTATTTTTCTCCTTCATTTAGCAACTCTAACTATAGTTAAGTCCTTGCTATTTCTTATAATATTTGTGGGACTAATGCCTTTGGGCTTCTGGAATGACACTTTCTCTATCAGAAATAATCCTCCAGGGCTGGAGCAATAACACAGAGGGTAGGGTGTTTGTCTTGCACATGGCCAACCCTGGTTCGGTTCCCAGCATCACATATGGTCCCCTGAGAACTGCCAGGGGTAATTTCTGAGTGCATGAGCCAGAAGTAACCTCTGTGCATTGGCGGGTATGACCCCCCAAAAAGGCAAAAAATCTTCCCAGGGAAAGAGTTAAATAGCTTCTCCCTCCCCAGCCTTTTACTCATGTTACTATATCCTTCCTCTACTTCAGCAATGTTTCCTACTTCCATCAACATTATTTTTCTCCACAGCACTTTTCAAAACACATGGTATGTTTTCTTGTCCATTTTTAATGCCTTTTTCTGACTAATAAATTATAAAGGCCACATTATCAGGGACTTGACACATGCCCAAGGATCAGAAATATGCTTGATACATGGGATATGATCAGAGAAATATCTGTGGAATGAGTGAATGCATTTTATGTCACCATTAAAATAAACCTTAAATGGAATTTTAAGAGAAATACAGAGTTTCAATGTCCATTTCAAAACATAATTTTAGGGTACTTACCCTTTCCAGGGTGAATGTTCTAACTACATATTCGGCAAGTGGTTCCATTTCAACACATGTTACTTTGAAGTCACCATAAACTTCAGTATCATCAGGCCAATACTTATAGCATTTAACCTGACAAAAAACACATTGGTAAACCTGAATATCTGATGTATATTAACAAAGATGATTTAATTTCAGCAATAAGTCACTTTATTTAATATGTCTCTGAGGGAGGTAAAAGACTGCTAATAAATAGACTATGCAGACTCATAAAGACATAAAAGCCTGATAATGCAATTAGATTCTAATATAAAATCAAAGCTTATTTTATTACTCAAGGAGAAATCAAGTACATCAAGTTCTTGAATAATAATGTTTCATTATAACATTGATGACAAAAAAAAAAATCCCCGCCAACAATGAAAGAAAGGGCATTATTTGAGAAATTACCTTGTGTCGTTTTGCTTAATGTTTATAAGAACCTGTGGATGACTTACTTACTTGAAATGCTATACCTGTAAAAAAATTTTTAAATAATTGAGAAATATTCTATTTCTGCACATGCTTTTTCAGGCATGTACCTCTCAGGCAATACTCATTGAGTGCAACCAACAGCACTCCATCCTGCGGGTCAGTCCTTGGATTTAGTACGGTGGTTACACTTGGTGACACTGCAGGAGGTGGAAGGGTCCATGTGGCGCCCTGGGTCGAGGTGCAAGGATGGAACTGAATTTGCACTTTAGTCCTTTTGATCTATTTTCCTAGCCCTCAGCATGTAATGTTTTGCGATTTAACATAAACTTGTGTTTTTTGAGCAAAATCAAATCAAAGCATAACCTACTTATTTATTTAGTCTTACCCGGCCAACCTCAACTAAATTTGTCACCATCACAATGCAGGCAGACTGTTCTTGCCAGACCATTCTCCAGAAATCATACACAGTTTCATGAACTGGACCTATAAAGAACATCAAATTTTGCAGTTAGTATGAAGTGTACGAAAGAGAAAAGGTAAACTAAGTAAACAAGAAAGAAAATGACAGGTTGAACACAATGAAAGTCCTTGAATTCAGTTCCTATCTAAATTTTACAGTTGTCACTCTCCTCCCGTTATCGATTTGCTTGAGTGGGCCCAGTAACGTCTCCACTGTGAGACTTGTTATTGTTTTTGGCATATTGAATACATCACGGGTAGCTTGCCAGGCTTTGCTGTGCAGGTGAGATACTCTTGGTAGCTTGCTGGGCTCTCTGAGAGGGGGGCAGGAATTAAACCCAGGTCGGCCGGGTTGGTCGCGTGCAATGCAAACACCCCACCCGCTGTGCTATCGCTCCAGCTTTACAGCATAGACAAAAAATAGCAATGTAAAATTTCGTCCAAACTGCATTTTCCTTTCCAACTACGAAGTTATCATTAATCTTTTCATTTGTCACTAACTTACTTCAATGGAGATCTGAAATATGTGCAAAAAGGAAATTATCTACCACAATTTATGATATAGCACATCTTCATTTTTATTTTGATTCATACCTAGTAATATTCAGGGCTTACTCCTGACTCTGTGCTCAGGGGACCATATGTGATGCCAGGGACAGAAACAAGGTCAGCTCTGTGCAAGGCAAGAGATTACACCTCTACTATCAACCTGATCCTCAAAATTATATTATCAATAAAACATACAACCATAATTTATGAACAGTGTATATTTAGGAGGTCAATAAAGAAATCCTATCTATACAAGGAAACATCTTAATCTGTTATAGTATTATCTCTAAACCACAAAAACAGAAGCAGAAAATAGAATATTCAGTACTAAAAAGCAGAATATTCTTCACCACAGATATCTCTGCCTTAAAAAAATTGATAATTAAAGCTGATTGCTCTAAAGACATGGATAGCACTGAGAAAATGAACTTAGTTTCCTCTTTTACAAAATGGATATGCAATTTTTTCTTTGATGGTCAATGGTCAATTTGTAAAGTGAGATTTTGTTGCTGTTATTATTAACATATTTTTTTTTTTATCTCCAGTGTTCTTCTACAACAGACTTTACTCCTTTCTCCTTACTTTCCAGAATAAATTAACTGGATTGAATCCCACTTATTAGTTTGTTTTGTCTGTCTTGATTTAAAATAGAAAATGAATAGAAGGCAGATTTGTGTCTGATTGTGATTACATTGCTCTTAGGGCACTAGTACATTTCAAGCTGATAGAATACACTCCAAGAAAATAGGCACATTATATGTAAGACCTCTCCTACTTTCATCCAAAATAGGTAATTCATCTGCTAGCATAACTATTAGTGTTCTGAAACATCATGACTAAATACAACTTATCTTTTGAGCGATAGCATAGCGGTAGGGCATTTGCCTTGCACGCAGCCAACATGGCCTACTGGAGTTCGATTCCACCGCCCCTCTCGGAGAGCCCGGCAAGCTACCGAGAGTATCTCGCCCGCACGGCAGAGCCTGGCAAGCTACCCGTGACATACTCGATATGCCAAACACAGTAACAAGTCTCATGATGGAGACGTTACTGGGCCCGATCGAGCAAATTGATGAACAATGGGAGGACCGTGATCTTTTACTTCAGCTTTGATTTTATTTTGACTCATACAAATGAAGTGCAGTGTAACACAGCAAAGCTGACTGCCCCCCCTCCAAGTTAATTCATACAGAATTGGCAAAATTACCAAGTGAATAAAAATTCTAGTTTTGCTGTTCTACAGATTTAGAAGGGAAAAGTCTTACCTTGAGTAGCAATATAGTGGCTTGGTCTCTGGTAGCCCTAAAATAGGAGAGCACACCTGTTATCACTTTATAGCAGTATTAGAAATAAGTGAATGAAGGCATAAAAAGATGAAGACAACCACCTGTTAAGATTAAGTTATAGTAAAAAAGTCCAGAAATGAGTAGTGAACTCACAGTTCACTTCTCAAACCTAGGTTTTCTGAAAGGTAAACATCAACTGTCCTCTCGTTGTTCGATTTTGCTCAAGCGAGCCCAGTAACGTCTCCATTTTGAGACTTCTTGTTACTGTGTTTGGCATATTGAATACATCATGGGTAGCTTGCCAGGCTTTGCTGTGCAGGCGAGATACTCTCGGTAGCTTGCCGGGCTCTCTGAGAGGGGCGGAGGAATCAAACCCAGCTTAGCTGGGCTGGCTGCACGCAAGGCAAACTCCCTACCGCTGTACTATCGCTCCAGCCCAAACATCAAACAGACATCAAATATTTTAAGAGTTCTAATTAAAATAGAGATTGCATAATTGAGTTTGGTTTGCTAGGGAATAACCTCACATTTTGTTTGATTTTACTAAAATGTTTATGCCTTCATGGAAATCTTAAGTCATTCATTCCTGGCAAACTTGTGTTAAAAATATTAACTTATTTTATCATCCAAAAGTACAACACACTGCATTACAAACAGACAATGACATATTAGAACTGTAAAAAAATAACAGAACATTCCAATGTTAGAGCTGGACAATGCATGTGTGCATCAAATCAAAGCCCTGTTGAGATATTTTAAAGAATACATCTGTACTATATAATATGTTTAGAAATCTGCCAAAACTATTTTGTGTGTGTTGACTATTAATTCACACACACATAATTGTAGATACACACATATATAGGGAAAGAAGAGCTTAGAAAACTGCATCTTAATCTGAATGAAAATATTTGTATTCTTTTCCCTTTTTCTTAGTGTGACAAAAATTCTATGTGATTATTTATTATCATTCCAATAAATAATTTTTCCCCAATAACAGGTAAGTGGTTATATTGTCCAATTGACCTGGGTACCAATATTATATAGGTAACAAAAATGTCAATGGCACATATAACGTGGTTAAATTTGAATTTTTAATGTATTTTTAGAAGATTTCAGTAAAAGAAGGTAGTACAATTTGTTCACATTTTTATGTGGGCAACTCTACACATATAAATGCATAAAACTGAAATATCTGTTCTAAAATTCAATAGATCGAGCATTAATCTGTTGTAAATTTGAAAGTTTCATGTTTCTTGATTTTCTAACTTGGTATAATGTTTTATGTAAAATATTTTTGTAAGTTTATAATCATTTCATCTCCTGTTTTTCATTATAAAATATACTAATTGCAGAAGATGTCTTTCAAATATAATATTCCAATGAAAGAAGGAAAATTATGAAATTGTCTGGTAGTAATCTGCCAAAACATACTGGGGTCTAAACAAAAAATTAGAGGACAATATAGTCTCATTTAGAATTAATTTAGCAGATGCAGTATTTTAATAAAAGAGTACTGTAACAAGGCACCAGTGTGTATATTCTGGCAGAAAACCAAGGTTAAATTAAACAGAAAAGAATATGTACAAATTCTTCAGAGCTGTTGATTTTTCATTTTAAAAACATTAGTGTAGTTTTCCTGTGGAGGTATCTGATAAGACTACACTTGATAAAATTATCTATTTATGGAAATTAAAAAGAATTCATTCTTAATTATACATGTGTGCATACACGTATGCTGTAATAATTGATCTTTTAATATTCTGCCTTACTACGAACATATATTTGGAATTTGTTTTAAGGTACTTCAGTTTGAGTTATTAGTTTTTAATAACTGAGTGCTTTAATGAGTGCTTAGCATGTAACAGGTACTGAATAAATTATGCTAAATGTTCAACATGTATTAGTTTGCTGAATTCTCACAGTAAAATGAGATTAGTCCTATTATTTTCCCCAATGTAAAAATGAAGAAATTGAGGAAGAGAGAGATAATGCAGTGCAACATTTCTAGTGTGATTTTCAACCAGGAGTCAGGAATAAGAAACCTGTCCTTGTTCTTTGTAAGGTAATATATTATCTCTTTTATAATATCTTATTCTTTTTTTGACAACTACTTTCCACCAAATAACTCACAAAAGAATATATTTGTAGCCAAAATTTAACAGTGAATTATGATAGAAATAAACTTTTTGACTTGTATGATTCAATATATATGTGTGATATATGTATTATATAAATACAATTTAGTATTTTGCTTAATAATTTTAATATTTTATAAGCCAATATTGCACATCACAAAATAGTCTCTCACCCCTTTTTAACATCAGAAATCAAATGTAGAAATTAAAATTGCAAAAATACTAATACACATCATACTATCCAGCTTCTCACATATGTTTGGGGAAGGGTAAGATAAACACCAGAAACAGAAATTGTTAACAAATAAAACTTGAGTACGTAATAATTCATCAAAAGCTAAAGATGGGTCCTGTTTTTCTAAACATAGATAAGGGAAGGAGATAAAATAGATCTTTACACATGTAAAGGAGTTACATAAAAGATGAGCATAAACTGTATGAGGCTAATTAGGTGAAGCATGCAGAATTAACTAGTTATAAGCATTAGTAATAACTGTAATTAGGAGTAGTTATATTAAATATTTATAATAGGGTGCTGTTATTTACATATAGTGGTACTTACATCCCTGTACAGCCAAATCTACAGCCCAAACCAAAGTCAGGTGTGAAAGAAAGCACAACAATGTCAGTAAGTACTAGGACGTAGAACAAGGAAAAGTGTACAGTTTGCTCTTTATTTAAAAAAATCTAGCAATAGCTTTATAGGTAATTAGCAAAAAGATTACAAATATGAACCAACAATGGACATAAGCAGAAGTACTTACATCTATGTAATTGGCATTAATGTAATCTGATGAAGGGTCATCCTCAACAGGTTGCAAAATTACTCTGGAGTGATCGTCTATAATTTTTAAACAACAGAAGTTAACAATTTAATTCCTGAACTGATAATATTAATGGTTTTCAAAAAGAATAAAAAAAATCAATGATGGCTTTTCTGTAACATACTCTTAAAATTTTCTTCAATACTAGTCAATTGAAGAAATACAAGAATATTAATGAACTTATCGCAAGTTAATACAAATAGCATATCCTGTTTAAAAACTCTTAATAACTAGTGTCTTCATAGTTAGAAAGTTTTTAGGGGTCTTGATACGATGAATCATCACTGAATCATGGACTTGTCTAGAAAACCGAATTTAGTTTGATTCTTAATTTTGCTTCCTAGGCATGATTTAAGTAAGTGAGATACTTTTCTTCTGCACTTTATAACAAAGGAACTACAAATCAGAGTCAATTTTGAACTTTCTCTATTTATTCTCTGACAGTCAAGATTAATTTTGAATGGATTCATAAGATCATTTAAGATAATTTAAACTGGATACAGAGAGAGAGAGAAAGGGAAAGAGAGAGTTCTAAGTAAATCAGTCAATTATTACAAGCTTGTTATGATAAGTTTCATACTATTCTGGGGTTTTATATGATTAAATATTTACTTTTCCCATACAAATGTCTTAAATACTTACTTAAAAGGAAATGCCTCGTAATATATAACATGGGGAACTGGAAATTAGACACTGATTCCAGGAAAGGAAAAAAATATATGTATATAGTAATACTCTCACCTTGAACATGTTTAGACAAAGTGTTAAAATAATCTAGCAATGAAAATACTAATATTTTTATTATCCTGAAATTTCCAGTTGTTAATATAATCCTCATGTATTTAGGTACATATAATCAAACAACATATTATTTCCTAAGAATCTGAGTCAATTTATTTACTAAAGATGATAGTTCCAGTCACTACCAATAGCTAATGGTGTTTTAATATCAAAAATATTATAAACCCCTACACCACGTTCTGGAATTCCCTATAAAGCTTGAAATCATATGAAGAGGAATAGCCACTTATACATCTTCTATCCCCATATTTACATTCAATGACTCATGAGTACTTACATGCTATAATGTTTCCATATCGGTTTTTTGCTCTATTTTGATCTTTTTTAGCTACATCCCAAGATGCTGACTGTCCTTCAAAGAAGCTCTGGAAAAAAAAAATTAACATGCAGACTGAATTTAATAACTTTTCTTGAATGAGGCTTATCTGTTCTAAAGACCAAAATAGCAAAGGTCAGTTTCTCGGAGGTAAGGATTCCTACCTTCTACTGAAGCTCTTAAGTTCTATTTTCAGAACTCAAAATTTGATTTTTGGAGTCCTATTTGTTCATTTTGAGTTGGACTGAGTTGGAATTAAGAACAAAAACAACCTCAACTTTGAAATTACATCGAATTTAAGACCATCATAACTTTTTTGAGACAGAAGTAGAAAAAGCATCAAAAACTTCAAAACTTTCAGTCTTTCAAATGGGCTTTCTTTAGCATTTGTAATGAAGAACAAACAAACAAAAAACTCTCACAAAACATTGGTTTCTCCCATTAAATCACGTGTGCTATCTCATAGTTCAGTTTCTCTGAAGATATTAAAAAGGACCAAATCTCTACAAAAAGTGACGTTGTCAAAATTAAAGAGTCACCATTTCTAAGAAACTTGAAGCAGACAAATTTGTTCACTGTTTAATCACCACACACAAAGTAATGTAAAATACAAAGAATTCTTCTTGCAAAGATAAACTTAAACTGTACTGAAGGCAGGAAATGGAGTCTTCAAAGTGGCTTTGATATGAGGCACATAGGAAAACACATGAAATGAGCAAAAAGAATGTGCTTTGGCAGAATATTTTAATTCTGGCACTCTGCAATTTTGTCACCACAGCATTTTGCTTTTGGCATGTTTCTAAAACCAATCTTCAAAAGGGAAATATAAGTTTACTTACTACCAAAGTCATAAAAAATGTACATAAAATGTTAGACTTTAGAAGTTGAATGTAGACTTTATGTAGAATGTAATTTGGATGGTCTTTCAAGGTACAGTACTGGAATCTTCACTTTAAATGTATGGAAGATGGTATACATTGGCAGTGGAAGAACCCCATGTGTGTTCTTACACTGATACTTCCCAGTAAGTGAAGGATGACAGAAAACCACGTTTTCCCTTTTTTGCTCTACTATGTTTGCTGGGATGTTCACTTTTAAATCAAATACTTTGCAGTAAAAATCCTGTTAATTAGATTTCAGTAGAAATGAGATTGGCAGAACTTCCCACATTTTGGAGGGGGGGGGCGCTGCTACATTTGTAATGTTCAGTTTTTTGAGACACCCCCAATCAATAATCCACAAACCAAATCAAGTCTGGCTAGTAGTACAAACTAGGAAGACAAAGCTTTTATCTCACTTTGGAACAGAGGGCAGACAAGAAAAAGACAAAAACCATTTAAGTCATTCAAGTAATAGAATCTGTAATGCTACAATAGGATGCAGGCACTGTGCTGTAAAAACTTTTGTTCAGGAAATAACAGGTCTAAAAAAGTGTTTTTATCTAACAATATATAAGGTACAAACTTTAACAATTCTTTAAAGGAAATTTAGACCCATGCATGCATGTATGCATGTATGTATATGTATCCCTGAGAATTATCCTTTTGCTTTTTCAATTCTCTCATATCCCACATCTATTCTTGAAACACATATATTCTTTTCAATTTCCCACATCCCACATATACTCTTGAAACATTTATAAAAATAGGTCGTGAGAGAGAATATTATATTCTACCAGGTTAGGGAAGAAAAAATATTAAGTTCTATTGAGTAACATGGTTAGAAATAGTGGTTAGTATATTGAATCTTTCACCTCATATTCCTCTTTGAACCCATAGCTGTCTGACGTCTTCATGAGATTAATGTGCTGTAGCAAGTCAGCTACCCTGATGGCAGGGTGCAACTGTCCCGTCTGGTAAGGGGATTCTGTACCCTCACAGAGGTAGCGAGGCACATCGAGTAGGCGACTGGATTCAGCTGTAGCACTGTGGTTCTCATCTGGCATTTTTCATAATCCAGAAGATTAAAAGAAAAGACAAAGTTATCTTGTTTAATATAATATCTTTGCATGGACTTTAAGACCTTATGATCTTTTTGATAACAAGAGGAAAAGAAAGAGATATAAATATAGGCCCAGGGCAGCCTTTACATAAAGACAAAAAAAGAAAAACCAAAAAGACAAAGCAGTTTATGTCAGAGCAAATGGTAGAGGTTGGAGCACACTGTTTATATCAGGAAGATAACAGATGCTGTGAGACAATGACAGATATTGAATTCACTTTTTCAAAGTAGAAATGGGATATTTTGTTGAGTTCTTACTTTTTCTTGTATCTGCAGTCAAAGCAGTATAGAGTGGGGCTAGAAGATCAAGTTGTCAATTGGAGAGGTGATATCTTTGTCAATTATACGGAGCAAACTCCTTCCCACCAAATCCCAACTTTCCTCTAGGCAAACCATAATGTACAGCGCTGTTTGTTTCTTCTTTATGGTCCTAACATGCCAACTTTTGAGGGATGCTTACCACAACACACTTCAGACTGAGAAATATAAGCATTCTACAGAATCAACTCTTGGTCCCTTGAGTGTGCTAATCAGGTTACAAGGGTATTTATACTCAATCTTTGCAGCTTTGGTATACTATTAGTAATGCTAATTTTATTTGCAACATGTTTGTCTCTAGAGCAAAACATGTAGGGCTTTTCCCTAGGAAGCCTTCCCTGGATCATTCACCAAGTGAAACAGTTCCTACTTTAAGGAACTCTTGTTTTCCTACATGTAACTGTATTACGACATAGCATATATCATTTATTCACTGATATACTTTCCTAATCAAATACCAAATGTTTGGTATAGGGGCATATTTTATACTTTATAGACATACGCTTAGAGACACATTTTTTCCCCCTAGTGCTGGTGCAATGCAGCAAGTCAATAAATATGAGTCAATGAATTAAAGTCATTTGAATCCCTCACCACCCACACTTAAGTGTAGGCCCCATCCCAACTGTGTTATAAAATTAACACAAAGACACTAAGTCTTTCTGTCATAAGAAGGAAGAGAACAAAAACATTTTACCTATGAATAAGAAATATTATTTTAATGACCACAGTACTAATTGTTACAATAAGAAGCATGCTTATATTTATCACATTTAAACTTACCACTTTTAAAAAAAACAATTGTTTTAAAAGTATGGTACTTTGAAAAGCATTATACTGCTGCACTCATTAACAGAAGAGAAAGTACACTCATAGGGGAACTTTTCTTTTTAATGATAATGCATACTGTAGAGAATGATATTTAATTAACAGTTAAACATATTTCAAGTGCTGGTACATTTGCCTGTTCTATCACCAACTCTACAAATAGGATATGGCAAAAAATGAATTGTTGTCCCCATGATAAACATTTTTTCTTCCTGGAGAAGGGGAAAAAAAAAAAAGAACCCCACAATCAGATTTGTGTGCTTCTATAATTTAGCTTGATTGCATTTACTTTACTTTCTCTTATTAGACTGAATGCATTTTTCCCATTTACATCTAAAAATACCACACTGAATTAAACACACCCCTGGTTGTAACCTAACCACCCAACTGCATTAGTGCCTTTATCCAAGTTTCATCCACCCCTCTTCACATAAACATTTGCTAGCAATCATGATTCATGAGAATTCTCTTTTTTCCTATGAGATGATCCAGCTTTGCTAATATTACAACCAATAAGCTGACATGAAGACTATATAACCAGTAAAATTAAATTAAAAAATGATCAATCTGGGCACTAACATTAAATATAAGCTTAGAGTGCAAAGTAAAGAGGACAGATAATGTCAGAGAGATAAAATGCATTAACTCAAGCTGGAATAAGGAACTTTGGGGCTCTGTGGAATAGCACCAGAGCTTACACTGTACCTACTGGAGCAGTAGGTACTTATGTATTTACAACTGTAAAATGTTCAGTGAGAAACAACAACTCACTCATATACTAAATCATACATGATTGTGTCTCAGTATGAAATACAGTGCCTTTTGTTTTGCATTTAGCTTTAATACAGTATTACAATGAGCAGTATTCTTAATAACAATGAATTATTAATCTCAATACATTTCCACCTCATTAAATCATCTAGTAATGTGACTGGAAGTGGGAGTACATGTACTACTCATTAGCCTATTATACATTTAAGAATAATAATTTCAAATATTTTCTCAATGGAAAGATTTGTGATAATTCATTGTAATACACTTACCAGTTATAGGGACTTTAACCCAATGAAGCAGTAAAACACAAAAAACAAATATATGAATCAATAGGAAAAAATATTTAAGCTATCAGCTATTAATATTAAGTAATACTTGAAGTGATTTCAAAAAGTATTTTATAAATATGAAACTGGATGCAAAACAACTATAAATAGCATGATTCCAAGAATAATGAAAAAATGCAATGAATCACTTGTATATCTGATAAGATTAATAAAAATTTTAGTTTATAGAGAACAACCACTTTTAGAAGATACTAGCCAACCAGCTTGACTTTCAAATAAAAAAAAGAGCTTAAAGGATGCTTGTTTATATGAGCAGATCTTATGACTTTATTTTGTTAACTCTAGTCTTCTTTAAATATTAATATTCTTTTCAGAGAGGAAGCTATAATAATTTACTGAACTTCATAGTTTGTAAAACTTACATATATAGTCCTATTTTTTATGGAAATGTTGACTAGGAATTGCTATGTTGTTTTTTATAAATGGGGAAACAAAGAGATGAGGTTGACTGAATTTTGGGCCTAATTCTTTGTGTTCTTAGGATATTACTATAATAAAATTTCAACACTTAGGCAAGTACATTTTTAGTGAGTTTTCAAATTGAATTTTAGTCACTAACTTGAGCCTGACAGAATTTTACAGAGCTTAATAGATGGTGTCTTTATAGTCACATTTTGGTACCTCCTCCCATAAACATAATCCTGGCTCCTTCTAACATAATCAGGCTACCCCTTGGGAAAAAATTCCTCAATTTACTTTCCTATCACCACTGGTATGGACATAAAGGGGAGAATGCAATCAATGACAGAAAACACTGCATCGTATTATTTAAGAAAACACGACTTTAAAAATTCTCGTAATAGTTCCAACATATTTTAAAATGTAAATGAATAGTAAATACATGGATAATAAAGATATGTAAAAATGTAGCTAAAGTTTTATGAAATTTAAATAGGATGAGATGATATATTTGAAGATATTTGATCTTAAATATTAGAAACATTGCTTAAACTGACATCGAACTTATATACAAATAAGCAAGCTAGTCATAATACACTGGTATATAATTAATCAGGGAATGAGTGCAAATTGAAAGCTCCGTCTATTCTTAAATAGCATAACTTCAAAAAACCCATGCAACTAGTTGTCTTAGATTTTTATACTGACTTATTTAAAATTTCTTGAAAGATAATATTTATCATGTAAAGCTGCAAAATACAAAACTCTTCAGTAATATTTTACCTGCATTCAAAAAATGTTTACTTTGTTTTTTACTACATCTGGCAATGCTCAGGGCTTCTTTCTGGTTCTGCACTCAGGGATCATTCCTGGCAAGGCTCAGGGGACCCTAAAGCGTGCCAAGTATTGAACCCAGGTAGGCCATGTGCAAGGCCTTACCCAAAATATGATCTCTTTGAGCTAACATTAAAAACTCTTTAATCAAGACAAACTAAAACAAATTCACATATTCATAAAGTTCACTGGGGAATATCTAATTTCATGTCTTTCACTGACATGAAATTAGGAAGATTAAAAAAATCCATTTCATTAGATAAAAATAAATCATTCAGGTAGCATGACCCCTTGAATTTGGTTTATTTTACTAACATTTGTTATATAAAATTAGTCATAAATTTAAAGTCATTTTACTTTAGGTTTGAATCTAAAAGAACCGTCATTAAAAAATACGTTGCTGGGGATTGGAGCAATTGCAAAGCGGGTAGGTCATTTGCCTTGCACACGGCAGACCCGGGTTCAAGTCCCAGCATCCCATATGGTCCCCTGAGCACCGCCAGGGGTAATTCCCGAGTGCAGAGCCAGGAGTAACCCCTATGCATCATCAAATGTGACCCTCCCCCAAAACAAAACAAAACAAAAATCAAAAAAACATTGCTGGGGCCAGAGCAATAGTACAACAGTTAGGGTGTTTGCTTTACATGCATCTGACCTGGGTTTGATCCCTAGCACCCTATAATGCCTCCTGAGTGATCCGTGAGCATTGCTGAGTGTGGCCCAAACAAAACCCCCAAAATACGTTGTTTTAGAAAAAGGATATCTTACAAATCTGAAACTGCTAGATAAAACTATGACTATACTTCTGAAATTAAGCTGCTTCCTGCACTGTAAATAATTACTGTGCAGACAGAACTATTCCCCATGCAAGGAGATGTGATCCATGCAAACAAGACATGATAAAGAATTAGGGCCTCACCTAACACAGCCGTCGGCACAAGTGGATCATTGGGCACTGTAGGAAGACAAAGCTTATGAAGGAATGTATTGCCCTAAAGTGGCTTCTTAGACCTTTTTTATTTACGATAGATTTTATGCCTTCTTAAGAAATATAACTGTTACACTTTCTTTAATTACTACAAATGATGCTAAGGTTAAAACCTCTATTTTAGCTTGGGTCAATTCAAAATACCAGGTAAGGCATATCTAAAATTATAATCCTTAGCTTAAAAAGCCAAAAATATTAAATTGATAGTTTAAAGATTATAAAATTAGACTACAAACAAACAAACAAAAACCCATGTATTTATATGTAGCAATTTGAAGATACTGAAATAAACACTATCTCATTCACTCAAGTAAAATTTGTTCTCCAAGTTCATAAATGAAAATTTAAGTTATACAACTGAATTCATACTTCTGGATAATGCACTAACATAAGCAATAGAAAAGTGTAAGGAAGAAGAATACTTTCACATACTTAATTGATTTAATATTAAATGAAAAGGTTAAAAAGACGGTTTATTTATAATTCTGGTACAACTTACTTTCAACAATAATCTTCATCATTCATAGTAGAAAAATAGATCAAAAAGGTCTATTATGGTTAAAGGTCTTTATCATGACTAAAACAAAATTGCAAAATGACTCATACTGAATTTCTAACTACTAATTTGGTGTAGATATAAAACAGAGAAAATGATGGGCTGTGTTTATGGCCAGTAATTACTGAAAAAATTCAGGAGCTGAAAGTTTTTGAAAAAACTTTTCTTACTGAAAAAATATGCACATATATAATCTGCAAATACTTTTATTTTCTCAATAGTATCATTATGTAAGTTTATATACTATATATGTAATAATACTTCATTATTTACTTTTTCTGTAAAAAAACCCCTTGTATTTGTAGCATTTGTGGCACAATACAACTGTAGGATTGGTGGCAGACTGATCTATGTACCCAAGCTCAAGAATAAACATGACTTCCTTCCTCAAGGATCAGGTTTTACTCAATGGTTTAAAGAAACAAAGCCAGATATTTTTAAAAAAATTTAGGAGACCTAAAAAAAAAAAAGGTCTATATAAGAAAATATAGAATTGACAAAATTTCAAGATGAGTTATCATAAAATGGTTATGGCGCAATTATTCAAGCCATCTGCCATGATACAGTAGTTCAAATTAAAATATTTTGAGAGTATTATATTCACAGGAAAATTTTAGAAATTCCTTTTTTTAAAAGAAATTGGAACATACATTGAAAACATAGAACAGAAGACTTTAGGGTCTTTTAGAAGTAGAAGGAAGGAGAAAAAAGAGAATAAACAATTGTGAAGACCTTATACTTTAAGGGTGTCTGCTGATTGGCTGTGTGAAATATCCCAGACTGTTCTCTTAACATACCAATTAAATTTTGATGTGCTTGCTAACTGTGCTTAATGTCTCTGTCAACCTACAGAATGGTTCATGTGTTGGGAACCTAGGTGGAAGAGCTATATTGTATTGACTAAATAGCCAGTCTGAGAGTTCACTCATGGCTTCCCTGGCAATCTTTTAAAAACAAACAAACAAGCAACATGCCAGTAGTTTAAGGCACTAGTATAAACTTGGTTGTTCATGTGGGAGCCATGTAAGGGATCAAACTCGAGGTCTCATACATATTAAATGTGACTCTATTACTTGAACTATCTGTTTACTCCCATTAGGACGTTCTTAATATGGACAGATGAATGGGTAAGATGCCATTAATCCTGCCAATTAAAATAAACTTTGGTGTATCACACTAGATACTTAAAAGCATGTAGACTGACCTTGCCCACAGTTAATTTTTTTGGTACTGAAAATTCCAAAACTTCAGAATATTTTAGTAGCAAAGATTACCCATGCCTTTCATTCCCCCCAAAAAATGCTTCCTTTCATTGCAAAAGTAACTTTATCTTATGCTAAGGAAAATCACTATCACTGTCATTGTCCTCCAGCTGTTCATCGATTTGCTCGAGCAGGCCCAGTAACGTCTCCATTGTGAGACTCGTTGTTACTGTTGTTTGGCATATCCAGTATGTCATGGGTAGCTTGCCAGGCTCTGCCCTGCGGGCGAGATACTTTCGGTAGCTTGCTGGGCTCTCCGAGAGGGGCGGAGGAATTGAACTTGGGTTGGCCATGTTGGCTGCATGCAAGGCAAACGCTCTACCCACTGTGCTATCGCTCCAGCCCACTAAGGAAAATGCATCAGAAAAATACAATCTGACATGAATGAATTTTACACAGGCATTCAAGCATTTCTGGCACACTGATGACTATTCTCAGATGGCTGTTGTTTTAGTGCAAGAGCCAAAACATGGATGCTGTTCAAGCCCTCAGTGCTGGGGATACATAAGGCCACCCCTGTGGGGTTGGAGGGCTCCAGAGGTGCTAGGGGAGCCTCCAGAGCTAGAACTGGCGAGTACAGAAGATAGTATGGTGCTAGAAATAGAACCAGGGCAACTCAATGCCAGATATATACCCTAACACCTCTATTATCTATCTCTGGTCCTACAATCAAGCATTTTAACTAAAAGGAAAAAAAAAATCCCTAGCTGAATCGTGCATGTTTGAATAGCAATATCTCTTATGATACACTAATAAAATCCATCTGACTGAAATCTTAATATTCAGACCAAACATAACTTTTATGAATTTCAAGTTTTTTTTATTAGGTGCTTCTTTTTACTAATGTTATTATTCAAAAGGTTCATAGAATTATTTTTATTCATAGAATTAAGAGAGGACTTAATCTGGAAACTCAAATATAAATGAAGGACTTACATCTTGGGCTAAAATTGTGTTGGTCCATGAAGGTGATGGAAAGAGGATCTTCTGCATGTAGTGTGCTCTGATCAGCATAACTTCGATCCATAGCATTCACCATATGAGTCATCTCCTGCCGGGTATTTCCCATAGCATCTTTGCGTTTTTTAGCAAGCTTGCTGCCAAAGCAAATACAAAAAGACCTTAGAGTGAGGTTTGAAGGAGAGCTGATACCAGAAGTAAGTTGTAAGAAAGCTTGAGGATAAGAATATAGGCGTGTGATAAAGGCTCATAATGTAGGAATAAGGTTGACACTCAAACAGTATTCATGTTAGTCATCATAAAACTTTTATTTATTAGATGGATGGATCCTTAAACTTTCAAACCATCAATTCAAGCTTATATATTTTTAATTAAACTAGATCACAAAATAGATATTTTATTAAAGCAATAATACGTACTTCCTGAAAAGAGTTGAAATTTCAAGGAAAATGCAAGATAAAGCTATGTATTGTTTTTTGTCATTAATTCTTGTGATCAATTTCTAGAAGTTCTTCTAGGCAATAACATGACTATTTTACCAAGTTTATTTTAGGAGGGTCCCACAGTTAAAACAGAACAAAAGAATCCTCTTCTTCACTGTTTTATTATTCATAAAAATGTTACATGTGATATTAACATATCTAGTAGAATATTTTTAACATTAATCTAGGCCTAATCTGGATATTTTCTGACTCAACCACTACTAGATATAATGCAAATGCACATAGGTGTACAGGATTAAATGACATATTGTATAAGAAATATACTTTGAAAAAAGTTTAAAAATGCTATCTACAAGTATTATATAATGTCATAATTATGAATTATAGATGGAGTAAAATCCTAAAACTTTTAAAATGACATGGAAAATATCCACAACAGAAATGCCTTATATATATGAAGCAGAAAAAAATTATTTAAGGGATTTGGAAAATGGTTCCATTATTAGATTTTTTTTTTTTTGCTTTTCGGGTCACACCCCGCAATGCAAAGGGGTTCCTCCTGGCTCTGCACTCAAGAGTTACTCCTGGCGGTGCTCAGGGGACCATATAGGATGCTGGGAATCGAACCCAGGTCGGCTGCGTGCAAGGCAAACGCCCTACCCGCTGTGCTATCTCTCCAGCCCCCCGTTATTAGATTTTTGAGCTACTCAAAAACTTATCTTCCATACTGAGGATATAAATATGTTCTGTTTTTCTTATGAATGTATATATGAAACATGCAATGAAAAAAATTAGTAGCGAGAATACACATTTAAATAAATAACAGCATATAATTTATAATTGATATAAATAAAGGCATTCTAAGAGCCTACAGTAGCAATATTATGTTTCTGGATTTATGAGAGCAGTTATGTTGGCCTGAAAATATTCTTTAGTTGTCTGAATAGTAGCATTACTTAGCTAGATTATTAGCTAAAATATATTCTTCTGCTTCTCATTAGTATCTGTACTAAAATAAATATAAAACAAATACTTTCAAGGGTTTATTTAAATCGTCATATGTCCAAAGGCTTTCCTCTTAAAAATTAATCACCAATTTGAGAACTACTTCTGTGCAGAGGATTTTTCTCTGATAATCATAGTACTTGGCTTTTCAAGTTCCACACCAAACTCACCAAACACAACCAACAAACCCAACTGACAAGGTAGATCTGACACAGGCAATCATATACCAACATTTAGAGAGGGAAAAGGTATTAGTATGTTGGAAAATAATCATGACAGTACAAATAATACAAAAAAATAACAAAGGTATAAGACTCCCCCCATTGCTAACACCACCACCAGGACCATCCCCACCATCACTACCACCATTTTAAGTAGTGCTATGTTCTCTGTTCACGGTAAGAGCCACTGTTTCTTTTCTCTTCGTAGGCTATTTGTACAAAATGTAGAGATTTCAGACAGGCAAAGGTGGGGAAGAGGAGACATGGTAAGCAGTTTAGAGAAAATCTGCCTGAGAGATGATTGGCATTTAATCCTAGTATTAAGTTTCTGATTTTAAAATTAGTTTTAAAAAGGAGTCACAAATCTGAAAATTTTTCCAAGTGGTTCTGATTTTTAAAATGGTGTATGGGATAAATGAAACTCAGCAGGGAACAGTCTGCAGAATTTCCAAGCTGACCTCCAGATTTTAGAAGGGATATTTGTTTCTTGCTTATTCACTTCTAATATCTGGTAGACTTCCTTTCTGCCTCATTTCATCAGGGACGTCTCAGTTACTCTGACTAAAATACAACCTGTCTCAAGATAAGTTTCTGTGCTAGGGTGGTGCTTTTATGAAGCCCAGGTTCTCTGTCCATGTTAACTTTGGCTACATATCACATTGTGGGTTCTTAAAATCCCTGCGAGTCAGTCTATAGAATGAATTTGCCAAGGGGTAGGGAGAGGAGAATGAGAGGGGACCTGGGGACTGCTGTGGAGGGACATCTGAATTCTGGTGGTGGGTTTGATGTTGGAACATTGTATGTCTTAAACACTGCAATTAATGACATCGTACTTCATAGTGCCTAAATAATAAATAAGTTTCCCTCTATGTTTTCTATGATGGGAAGGCATCCGTGTATCCCTACCACTCAGTGCAGAATTCACTACATCTCGAACACTCAATAAATAATTGTTGAATGGATTAATTAGAGGTGTAACACAACTGGGTAGTTTTGATTTTTTAATTCAATTTAATTCCCAGATTAACCCATTGCAAAAGGCATAAGATTTCTAATTGCATGGATGGGTTTTCTTTTTTTTTAAACCAAGACTCAGACAAGTTAAATAACTTGTCCAAGGTTATTCAGCTAATAAACACTGAAGAATAACATGGTTCCCAGAATTATGCTATACCTGATCTTTTTTAAAATTGCCAAAAATGCAGAGTACAATACTATAAAGTATCATTTCATTCTACAAGTGAAACATTAGTTGATGTAAATTTGAAAAAACTAAATGGAACAAGTGTTTAGCTATATAAAATTTCAAAACTAAATGAGTCATTAGAGAAGTAATTTCTAATCTTTTCTTGTTGGGCAAGAAAAGAATAATTCCCCCAAATTTTATGGAGACTGGATTGAATAAAAATAACACAATCTGAAACTTGGATTAAGACACTGTGAAAGTTATAAAGTTGGGCAGTCAGATCAAAAAGAAAAACAATGTTCAAATTTTAAGGCTTTACTTTAAAACTTTAAAATGTGTGATTTATACAGATTTCAAAATAATGCAATTATTAAATACAGAGCAGATAAAAATTTTCACGGCAGGGGCTGGAGCGATAGTACAGCGGGTAAGGCATTTGCCTTGCACATGGCTGACCCAGGTTCAATTCCCAGCATTCAGTATGATCCCCTGAGCACTATCAGGAATAATTCCTGAGTGCGAAGACAGGAGAAACCCCGTGCATCGCCGGGTATGGGCAAAAAGTAAAAAAACAAAACAAAACAAAACAGTAATTGACCTTTACTTTCAGATTCACAAACTTAACTTTTGTAAGTCGGCAAATGATAAGAAGTAAGAGCTGTTGTTAGTATCTCCCAGTCACACATGATCAACTTGGTTCTTATGCCATACTCCCCACAACAACCCTGTGAGGTAGGTTTAAGGTCAGGTTATTCTAAAAGAAATAATTATCATTGGAGGATGTAAGCTCAAAGACCACATCTGGCTTTCTCTTAAGCACTACTCGCATTTCTTTCTATATTTAAAAAAATTCTCTAATTCAGATGAGCTTCATTAGGAATGACTAAGCAAACCCCCAAAGCATGTCTGTTACATCCTTACGGTTATGAACAATGTTAGCAGTCCTGTTATAATAACAGTCTTCTAACATACTCCCAAGCCCAGAATAGAAAAATATTCTGTTCACTGAAAAAGGCGTTCTTATTTTAATAGTTTACAAGTATCAATGTTTAATAGTGAGGGTATTGAAATTCTATAATTAAATATTAACTGATTTCTACATATTTGATACCTTGTCTCCCTCTGAGCAAGCAGCACATATAATGTGCATTTCAGGGCAGTTAAGCAGTTCATTTTGCAACTACTTGTATTTGGCAGATGTGCAAATGACTTTCATTATCAAGGCAGCCAAGAGCATAAATTTCTGCATGCAGATATATGTGTGGGCTATAAAGATGAAAAGTGCTCTATCATTGTATGAAATGGTACAGTTAATTACCTCTGGTTTAATCATACATGATTTTAAAAGTATATTATGATACATCACAATAAGCTAGAAGCACTATTAGTTTATACCTGCTTATTTTAGCAGATGTTAAGATGTCAAATGCTTACAACGTTCTAAATGTTGGCAGAATTTTGTTACAGTCATCAAGACTCATGTATGGTTTTGTTGCAAACTTGATTAAATTTATTCATTGAAATAAATACTATGGCATATATGCCCCAAACATATTTAATCATAATCCTTACACCTAGAATCGAAAGGAGGAAGGGTGAAGTCCTTGGGGGAGGAAAGTAGATACACTGTGATGACTGTGGTGTTAAAATTATGTACATGAGAAATCATAAGTCACTGATTCAATTAAAAAAAGTTATATCAAATAGTAATGAAGTAATGTGCAAAAAATCTTGTTTCATCATTCTGATGTTGATGAATACCTGGAAGCTAACCTCAAAAAGTCTAGAGAGGCAATTTTCTCATCCTTATATCCAAAGTAGCACTTTCTACCCTAAGCCACAGAGTTTGCAAGATTAAAGGAAATATGATATACCTATTTACTAATTTGCTTTTTATATTATTTTTGTTATAAATCTGTGTTCTATCTCAGTTGATGGTTTTGTTGTTTTGGTCCTGGTTTTATGAAATAATTGTTCCTATTTAAGTTCTGATGAAATAACAGTTTTCTCTAAAAAATTATTTTTTATTTCTTTGTCTCCACAATATTATGACTATCCACTTGTTTTTATAAGAGCCTACTGATTGCCTAAATGACAGTATCAAAGATGTTTTGAAGTTATAACCCATCCTGGATTCCTGGAAATGTGGAGAGAGATGCTATTACATTCAGACCTGACTTTATTTGCATCCTGTGAAGTCATTTTGAATGTTCATCTAAGAATATATTACTTGGGCCATTTTGTCAAGTATGATGGTGTTACACAGAGATAGGAATTAATAAATTATATCCACTATCTCTGCAATATGAGCAAAGTACCATATTGACAAGGTACTGGTTTGACCTACGTAAACAAATGCTGCTTGGGCTGTAGTATAAAGCTAGTTATGAAAAACTGTAAATAAAACTAAAGTAGCTGAACATACAGAAATACAATATCCCTTTTAAAAAAGATTATCAATAAGTTAACAGATAAACTTTACAGTTTTAGAGTAAGAAACATTATTTTGGAAATGTCACCAAAAGTTGCAAACATTCTATTTCTTTTCTTCTTTATTTTTTGAAAAGGGATACTGCATCATTAACAAATGTAAAGTTACATATCACCCATTTTCTACTTACAGGTAGTAGGAGTAAGAATAGTAGCTCCTCCTGGCAAGCAAATCACAGACAGTGGAAAAAGAGAAGCAATGGTGAATGAAAAGCGTGACTCCGTCACATCCAATAAAGCAGAAAAAAATGTGCATTAAAAATGAAATAAAATAAAATTCATGTTTTTTGGTTCGCATTTTAATTTGCTCATGCATTGGTTAGAGATTTTCTTAGCCATGCAATTAACAGACAGATATGCAATAGAAAAATAAAATTTAAGATACATAATTTGGAAAAAATAACATGCTGACATTTCTTTTATTGCCAAAAAAACTGAAAAATTAAATGGATTGTATATTTTCAACATGCAGTTAAGCATAATATCATCCATTACCATCTAAATGTCATGACAGATGGAACAGCTGTGTATAGAACTTGTACACTAAATTGACTATTTTTCTTTCGATACAAAACACAAAGAACTATTTAGTTGATATAGAATATATATAAAATGACACCTAAATTTCTATAAGCAAGTCATTATATCCTAATGGTTCACAGGTACATACATATATTATGTGAATATACATATGCACCATAAATTACACATAAATGAAGCTATTTCTACAGTAGATGTATATGACATGACCATGGTATCATGCACATACATTTACTGTACTGAAACCTATTTTCAAATTGATGTTTGGAAGCATTAATGTATTCATGCTGTGCATTTAAAATATAATACATAACCAATGAAAAATGGCATACAATTATAAATAATTCAAGAGCGATTAAATAAAAAAATGGCATTGCGTTTTGAAAGATGCAATATCCCTTTTCTTAGCCTATAAACTTACTTTAAATATATATACTTTCGACTGCACAATTTTATTAAATCGAATTTCAAACCATTTCTTTACACAAGAACCAAAAATACATAAAATTCTTGTATTATGTAAAATTGTTATATTAATATATTAATATTATTCCCAGCAAGGGGTAGTCTTGAGAAACTTAACTATTTTCTGTGAAGATTATAAAGTTAAATTTATTTATTTCCATTATTTTTATTATAAATTTGTGTATTAAAGGGGAAACATTATATATTAAAACTATTTGTCTATACATGGTTTAATACATAAGAACTATTCTTCGGTATATGCATTATAAATGTAGTCATGGCTGAATCATACAGGATGCATGTGTGACACACTACATTTTTTTTTGACACACTACATTTTAACTTGTTATTATGAAGGTGTTTTGTTAGAAAGTCCAAGTAACTTAGTTATATATTAGAAGTAGATATCTAAGCAAATTTTCCTAGAATTAGAGGTAGTGGTAAGGAAGAAAAACAAAATCCCTGGCACACTTTCTATCAAAAGACAATTAAAACATAATTATGAAAATTCAAACAAGCATTTTAGTAGAAAGGTTCATTTATCCAACAACTTAAAATAAAAAGCAGAGAAGTATTCTGTAACAACATACAATTTTTTAGAGAGTTGACAGAGTATTTAACCCACAGAAAAATCATGCTTAGAGATTGTTCTGGTATACTTTAGGGAGTTTAGATTGAGTTTTGTTTGTTTTTATTACCTGAAACAGAGGGCCATAAGAAAGAAAGATAAAATAACATATAAATGTTTCCAAATAAATATCAAAAAACCTCAATACATTTAAACTAATTATGAGTGAGATCATAATCAGAGGCCATTTCTGTGCTCTCAAGTCTTACTTGAAATCATGAATATTAAATTGTGAAGCAAAGTTTAGTTATTTTCCTAAATTAGTTCACTTTCTAAATTAAATTTATTTTTATATTTTTGGTTTGGGGGCTACACCTGTCTGTGCTCAAGGCTTTCTCTGTGCTCGGGGGGGGGGACTATGAACCAGGACTGAACCAGGGTTGGACACGGGCAAGACAAGTGACCTAACTCTTATACTAACTCTTTATCTCCTCCAAATCAAATTTAAACTGGAACATAAAATATGAATGTAATATTCAATACTTTTAATCAACTTAACTAACAAATTTCTATTACTAAAATACTTAAATCTTACTAAAATATAATGTATTTTCCAACCACAAAGGTAGACAAAAGCAAAAAGATGAGCACTATTGGGGAAAGCACGTATGTAGCTAGTTTACACAAAACACTATAAGGCATACCTAATGTTTCTAATGCAGGTGTGTCTTCTCCAACATATATATCTCCAGGGGATAATAGTAAAGAGGCAATACATTAAAATAAACTGTGATGGAATCATTAAACATGTACTATGAGTCTTATCTATAATACTATACCATAGGACTTAATGTAATGTAAGCAACATCATTAATTATATTATTAAATATAATTCACAAATTATAAACAGTTCCATACCTTAAATTATTTTAGGACTGTATATTACTTGTAAATATATTTAATTCCCTCCAATTTGTGCTTTACCTAAAATGTGACTGGATGAATTGGATTTATTTAGAAGTCAATGTATTTGTTTCTGAGACAATGCCTTATAAGTAGTGCTGACACATTATAGAATGAGGGAAAAAAATCAAATTATAAAAAATTTGCATACTTCAAAATGTTTTTCAGTAGGGATAGACTGCTATCTCCTGAATAGGTTTATTTAAGTTCCAATCAGTTTTAGTATCATCAGATAATTCCAGAAGATGGCGACATTGGTTGAGATAGACAAAAAGATCAATGATCAATTAAAAAAAGTGATTTTGCAAATTGAAGTGCTGAAATATTTAGTCAGTGAGTACTACATATACAATTCAATAAAATATTTACATTCTTCTTATAAATTTTCTGCAGCCAACATAAAAATCAAGGAAGAGCAAAATAATTTATAGATAAGTATAATTAATCTTCACTTTACTATTCTTAAATAACTCTTCAAAGAAGTACTTCCAAAGTATCACTGTATTTGTGAAATTTAAATTCATACACTAATTTTAAGTCTTACTTTGACAAGAATTGCATACTTATATTCAAAATTAAATTGCAAATAACATATACAAATTTATTTTGAAAACATAAGAAACACTCAAAGGTTCACAACATTGTTAAAATTCAGTATTTCCTCTTGATTTTAATGTAAAAGAATTCAAGGAAATAGAAGTTTTGAAAACTAATGAAACAGATTAAAATCTGGTCTTACCTTTTTTTCACAATTAATACAACAACTAGAAGGAGGAGGATGAACACCAAAATCCCAGCACTAATTCCTGCTATTTTCACCACTCTGTCTGTCTGCTTGGCTGGATCTGGAATTACTTCTGGTTCTTCTGTTGCTGCTGCTAAATTAATTTAAAAAAAGAAAGTTACTGAAAGAAGCTAATTATCACAAATAAAAACTATTCTTGGCCAAAAAGTACAAATGACAGCTTGTTCATTTTATTAAAAAAAAAACACTGAAAATACTAAACAGAGGCAAGTTGTATTAGAGCATGAGATTTATGGCTGATAAAAATTTTCTAATTAATAGCTTTATTAATGACAACAAAAGTTTAAAACCCAGAAATAAATATAGAAGGAACGGCCAACTATTTTTCTCCATATAGCTTTAAAATTCAGGAACAAGTCTTATAACAGCCCCACTGGAATAAGATGGGATCAGATTTAGAGATTCATTTGTTGGATTCATTCAGCAAGCCCCTACTATTCAAATATCATGTGCTGTGCCTGGCACATTGAAGTAGTATCAGTGAAAATGGTCTCAAGTGGTAAGGTTAAATAAATACTTAGTCTGACTGCCAGGAGTGAATTCACTATCTGATATGTAAGCTTAGAAATGAATAGTCGGTTTGACAGGAGAAAATGTAAAAGAACAAATATACACACATAGAATATTTCACATTTATTTAACAACAACAGCAATTACAAAATCATGCTAAAAAAATGTGAGAAACAGAAACTCATTATGATTTTTTTAGTTCTATGCATTCTTTCTCTTCTATTCTCTCATATCCCACTGTAAGATCTTAATTAAAATATTTTTTAAAAGTTTAGTAACCCTCTGAAGACATTTTCCTTTGACTTCCTTTACTTGGAAATTGGCAAAAAACACATTATCAAATTAGAAAAAAAAAAGACTTTTAGGGGCCTGGGAATATGGTTCCATGGCAGAGTTCATGCATTGCCTTTGTGCATGAAGCTTGGCTCCATTAATACATGTACAAGGTGTAGAGAAGTAAGAATGGTCATAACTGCTGAGAAAGAGAATGAAGTTTATACTTTTGTCTTCTAAAGAGACATTTCTCAGAGTTTCCAGATGCCACACAACTATGACATGAGTCCAGGTATTCTTAGATCAACTACATTTGGGAAAAGGTCTTAAAGTAGCTAATACTTAAAACTACTTGTCACTTGATAGCAATAACTACTTTAAGGTGGCTAAATGACAAATAAATAGATCTTTAAAAATAATCTCCTATTTGCCAATGGAAAATGTCCCACTTCCTTTGAAACAAGTACCCACACTTTCCCATACCCTAAAATTTTCTTCTTGGAGTCTGTCTCTAAACTACTAGCTCCTGCTTCTTTATTTCTTTATTTTAGCTTTACTTACTCTTCTATACAACTGCCATCTACCCTTATTTTCCAGCGAGTCAATCCCCCACCCCAGAGTCTGACACACGGTTGTTATCTTTCATCTTTTTCCAATAAACTGAAGCACTGTAGCACTGTCATCCCGTTGTTCATCGATTTGCTTGAACGGACACCAGTAACGTCTCCATTGTGAGACTTGTTGTTACTGCTTTTGGCATATTGAATATGCGATGGGAGCTTGCCAGGCTCTGCCATGCGGGCGGGATACTCTCAGTAGCTTGCCATGCTCTCCGAAAGGGGTGGAGGAAGAGAACCCGGGTCAGCCACGTGCAAGGCAAACGCCCTAACTGCTGTGCTATTGCTCCAGCGCCAAACTAAAAATCATAGCTTTTTTTTTCTTTTTTTGGGTCACACCCAGCGATGCACAGGGGTTACTCCTGGCTCATGCACTCAGGAATTACTCCTGGTGGTGCTCAGGGGACCATATGGGATGCTGGGAATCGAACCTGGGTTGACCGCGTGCAAGGCAAACGCCCTACCCACTAGGCTATTGCTCCAACTCCCCCCCCCCCCCCATCACCCCCAGGCAAACTAGGTAAAGGTAAAAACTAGAAATCAAAAAAAAAAAGTTTTGAAGAATGGGCTACAAAAATGATCTCATTGCAAATATTTGCTTAAATATACTAGTAGCCCCTTGAGAACTTTCAGAGAGTTTTTCTTGCCTGTCATTTGAAAAGTCATGAAGGAAACCAGACACCAGGCAAACAGAAGACAGTAAAATAAACTACACCCAGTGAGACAGAAAGAATCCCCCCTCCCTTCCTTCATTGTCCATTAATAAACAAAAATCAGTGAAATATCTGACGTTAATAATACTTTCATGATTTGGCATTTAAAAGATAAACCTGTAGTAAATAAGACTTGAAGAATTAGAACAATTAGTTTTACAAAATGATTCTCAGTAAATCTCTTAATTTCTCTAATCTCAGTTCAATAAGAAAACTTGCCTGTGGGCCAGTATTTAGTAACTATTATTCCAAGCCCAGAAAGCAACCTGTGATTCATTTCTTCTGGCAAGCAAGAGTTTCCTTCTCTGATCTGATTTTCTGTACATCAAGCATTTACAAACTTCCAGTTTTATTAATTATGAAAAGGCATGAGAGTGCTTACCATTTCACACTAGATATTATGTTTTAATTAAAGAAAACATGTATTAAATATGTTAGAGGTCTCTTTACCTACGCATACACGTTCATTAATAGTCGGTGTACATTTTCAAGATTGGGTATAAATTTTAAAAAGAGCATCCTTTTACAGTTCTCTAATTGTATTGGTTTAACTCATTTACTATAGGGAAAGACATGGAATGCTCATGTAGAAGTCCAAAATAAACCCTAATATATGCAATAAATCATAAATATTTATAAATTAAAACCAATTCACGTCAGGTTCTATGTCAATTTTGGCTTTTAGAGGGTAGAATGATAATGATCCCTTTGTGATTTTCTGGAAGAGCTCACAGAATTAAATGTTTCTGATACTACTCAAAAGATCAGTTTTTGTTCAATAAGGAAATATCATGGGTGACTTTCTAAAGTCAATATGCCCCAAATTGTTATATTTTATTAGAATCTCCAGCACTTTGACTGAAATGATAGCATAGTGTGGAGGGCATTTGCCTTGCCTATGGCCAAACCAGGTTCAATTCCTTCCATCCCATTTGGTCTTCCTAGCCCTGTTAGGAATAATTACTGAGTACAGAACCAGGAGTTAGCTCTGAGCACAGCAGGTGTGATTCAAGCCATTCCCAGTTACTCCCTCCCCCCAAATATTCAGCATATGAGCAGACCATGTTCATATAATAAGTGCAAATATTAGCTACTATAAATTAGAATGAGTAGTCAGCATGATATTAGGCAAACAATTTGAAAGACAGATAATGAAGAATTCTTAAAATCTTAATAGATGGGTTAAATTTGCTAATGAATTAATATTTGGTACCAGGGATTTCAACAAAGACCCAGTGAAATGCAAGTATGAAAGCCTATGTACCGGCTATCTCTCTGGTCCTCAGGTAGGTCTACTAGTGTGTAAATCAGAGTTAGCACTTTATTTATTTATTTAATTTGCTTCTTGGGTCACACATGGCAATGCACAGGAGTCACTCCTGGCTCTGCACTCAGGAATTACCCCTGGCGGTCCTCAGGGGACCATATGGGATGCTGGGAATCGAACCTGGGTTGGCAGTGTGCAAGGCAAACGCCCTACCCGCTATGCTATTGTGCCAGCTCCAGAGTTAGCACTTTAAAGTCATGCTCTATTTATCGTGATAAACTATTGGCCTTAATTAATAATTACCAACCAGTTGGGAAATAAAAGCTTATTCATTTGGGTTGTGAAAGGGAGCTACACTGTAATGATTACCACTCTTACAGAGAGTTTTCTTTTTATTGAAGTTTGAAACCAGTATTAAATCTATATATAGAAGGCTAATCTAATTGTCTAAGAACAAGTTACTGGTGATTACTATTTTTGATTATGATTGTCTTCAAAGTCTTTAGCTTGACATCTACTACTACTACTACTACTACTACAACTACTACTACTACTACTACTACTACTATTACTACTGCTACTGTTGCCACTACTGCCACAGCTACTACCCATTTTAATTAAATGTATATATAAAATGTTTAGATAATTTAGTCACACATATTTTTCAAGTTCTTGGCCCACTAGAAGCATAGAACATATATATCCTACTTAAAGTCATTCAAACTTAAAGCATTCATTAATAGAAAGATAAGCACTAGCCTCTACATAAGCATTTTCTATTTTCTTCAAATAGAGCAAAAAAAATCTATTATACAGTCTGCACTCTTGAGTTCTATTTATAATTTACTCACTTGCATAAAAGCAATGTGGAACACCTTTTTCAGAAATGCTTTCCTTTACCATAAAACATAAATCTTTAGCTTTTTTTGCTGCCAAAGAATAAATATTTCCCAACATTCTCAAGCCCAGATTCGATTTTTCTAGTGAGGTTAAAAGTTTTTATATTTTTTATTTGCAATAATAATTAACTTTGTAAATTAGGTCAACACTATTACCATTTCAAAAATAACTTAGCTATTTCACTTAAAGGATTAAGGTCAAATTTATACCAATATCTAAAATAGGAATTTTCAAATTTACTTAAAATATTTAAACCATTTAACAGCTGAAATACAAAAACTTTCTTTTGATTTTGTGATGGTTATTAGAGTTGTCTGCAAGTACAAGACAGTTACTTTGAGACTTTCAGAGACAATGAGGTTCTGCAAATTCCACAATTATAACAATTTTGAGTGCTTTCTTTCTTTCTTTCTCACCTACTATTCTGGAAATTGTTCACACTGACTTGCCAGTCATTTCCTAAGATCTGACACTCTGGTTTAATCTCCCTCAAAACTATCAAAGTACTAGTATTAGTCACTGAGTTCACTGTGCACTTTTCTCATTTGATGTGACTTCTGTGTTCCATCCACATCATTGGCCACACTCTTCTTAAAATATCCTTTCCCTGAGATTTAACATTATGTTCCACCTCAGTTTTCTTTGCATCCCCTTTATAAACAGGCACTCCTGAATTCAGGGGGTAAGTACAGAATCACGGAACCATGTTTAGCAGGATTACGGTTCAATCCCCAGCACTACATGGACTCCTAAAACATAGCCTGTGTAGACTTGGTGACTCATGAGCAATCTC